GGCCCTGCAGCTTGCTCTTGTTCCTGTCACTTCTCTGGGCTCCTGGCCAGCAGGCAGCTCCTGTCCTCCAACCTGTGGGCCCTGGAGGTTCCTGGGATCCCTCCAGTCTTGTGCCAAAGGAAGCACCTGTCCCAGAGGGCGAGCAGGCTTCCAGGCCCACAGATGAGCCCCAAGCTCTGGGGAGATCCAGGACCACCTGCTCAGAGCCCCAGGCTAGGCAGGAACATGCAGCACAGGGTGGTTGGAGGGGTCAGCACAGGCTTCACAGTGACCACTGTCCATGCTGAGGGCTTTGTTGGTAGGACCTGGTTCACCAGGTTCCAGTCTGACAGGAGAGGCCCAGACAAAGCCCCAGCTCGTGAGCAGCTGAGCTGGGTTTAAACCCACACCCTAGCTGGTCCCTTTCTCTCATGGCCAGGCCAGGACCTCCTTTCCACGTTGGCATAGCCCTGCCAGGTCCCACACAATGATGCAGCCAGGGCTTCCAACCATCTGGTCTTGATTCAAGGGAGAGAGAACCCCTGGGCCACCTTCATGCCATGATAGGAACTTGCCGAGCCCCCTGTGGCACTCTTGCTGAGCCCAGGAGTCTCAGGGATGTGATCTCCCCTGTTCCAGATGGGCAGGGTCCAAACTGAGAGAGGCCCGCTGCATTCATAGCATGTGCCTGGAGCTGCGGCTCTGGGCGGTCCCTGCCCACCTGGATCCTACAGGTGTTCTACCCTGACAGAGGGGAAAGGAAGCAGTGGAGTGTCCCCAGTGAGAGCCTGATTGGATGTTGGAGCACACCCACAGGATGGGTGGAAAACGGCCCCCTCCCCATATGTTCTTGAAGAACCCTTAGAAATGTGCCTTAGTCCATTTGTGTTGGTATAACAAAATACCTGAGACCTGGTAATTTACATGTAACAAATTAATTTCTCACAGTTCTGGAGGCTGTAAAATCCAAGTTCCAGGTACAGGCAGATTCTGGGTCTAGAGAGAATTACTCTATGCTGCCAGGTTGGGCCTTCTCCCTGTGTCCTCACATGGTGGAAGGCAGCCCGGCAAGAGGCAGAAGAGGGCCTGGTTGATTCTCTCTTGCTGATCCCATCAGCGAGGGTGGTGCCTTATGACTCAGTTGCCACTCTAAGGCCCCTCTTTTTACTGCCTCCACATGGAGGCTGAGGTCCCAATGCATAGATCTTACAGGGACACAAATGCTCAAGCCTGGCTGTGATATCTAGGAGAACACTCAAAGTGTGAAAAGTAGAAAAGGAAGGCATTCACCATGTCTTCCAGAGGGTTCTGCACGAGCCCCACAATAGCCACTCCTGGAACAGGCAGCACCCGGGTAGGCTGACCACCCCTCAGAGGGAAAACCTGCTGCTTTCTGTTTTGGAGGGGCTGTGCCGGCCATGCTGGGTAGCAGGTAGACTGTCCTAATTCTGTTGGCTTTAGGCTGATGTTAGAAGATCCTCACCCACATATATGCAAAGCTGGGGGTGCCTAGAGCTGCCCTGGGGAGCCTGGAGCCCACAGAGACTCTCCCGGGTATGTGTGTCTCCCTGACACTCACAGAACACACGTCTGCCAGGCCCAGCAAGGCACAGGCAGAGGCAGGCCCAGGAGGAGCCCCACAGATGGCTCCTGGGGTGTACAAGCATGCACCTGCTTCCTGTGTGCCCTGGGGACACACCTGGTGACAAAGCTTATAGCTGCCAGCCAGTGCCCCAAGAATGCTGCATGGCCAGGTGTCTCACAGTCGTATGGGCGGCATGTGTCACCCAATGAGGCGCATGAGCCCTTGTGGGTGGGGCAGACTGTTTCCTTCTGGGATCCCTGTGGACATGCATGGGACCCTCCACTCACCTGCAGCCCCCACTTCCTAGGAACTCCAAGGCCCCCCAAGGAGACGAAGAGCAATGGGCAAGGCCATTGTGACAGGCACAGGCTCACATCCATGAGAAGGAGGAGCCCTTTCCCAGGCTAACAAGATTATTTGGAAACAGTAGTAAAACAATGTTCTCTTCACTTGAGCAGGCATACTTGGCATGCTCTCCCCCACTCCTGGTCCTCCTCTCCCCTCCCCAGTTTGGAGTCCACAGAAGAGATTGCCGGAGTCATCAGATCTGGGTTGGCTGGATGCCTGCTGGAGGCACCTGAGATGGTCCCAGCCACCCTGGGCCCTGTGGGAGCAGCTTTGCAGGAGAAGGGGCCCCAGGAGGAGGACAGGGGCTGGATGCCCACCACCAATCTATCCCTGCCCTGGTTGAACCTCCAGGGGGTCCTGGGGAGAACCAGGTGCTGGGTCCCCTGGCTGGAGCTCATGAGGGACCCACACCACCCTTGATCTCTGCAACTCCTGAGCCCGGGCCTCCTCACTCCCAGGGCTCAGCCCTCCACCATCCTGCTGTCCCCTCCATGAGGCTGGCTCAGAGTGACAAATGTAACACGGGCTGCAGTTTAGGGCCAGGAAAGCAAAGCTTGGCTTCAGTGCCCACAGCCCAGCCAGGTGAGCTTGGATGTCACTGCTGTCTCATCTGTCAAGCAGGATGACGTGGCACATGCCAAGAGCTCCGGGTGATTACGGGCAGGCACGTGGCACATGGCTCCAGGCGGAGGGCTGGTGATGACCACCACAAGCATGCCCTGGGTGTGGTGCTCCGAAGGCAGTGCTTGGCCAGCTCCCCGGGCCAGCTCCCTGGCCCTGCACAGGGGTGTTCCAGAAGCCCGTCCTCCCTCCCTCTCCCTGAGCTGCTGGTCGGAGCTAGGGGGATACGTCCAGAATGGGAAACTGCTTCTCTTCTCTCTGACGCCCTTTCAGGCCCAGGAGGGATGGGAGGGGTGGCTCGCGGCCTCCAGGGGTGTCTGCCTGACTGGCACCAAGAGCCACTGGGGGACTTACAAGTGGCTGTTGTGAGTGTCCAGGTGTGTGCAGAGCAGCCGGGGAAGGGGAGAACAACACTGGGGCAGCAGAGTGGACGGGAGTGCCTTCTCCCTAGACCTGCCCCCCGGGGCCTCCTTGTCCACGTGGCAATGTGTGTTGGGCCCATCATCTGGGCTTCCCCTTGTCCCATTCCAATTGGAGGGGCCCTTGTGGGCTCTCTTGACAGGAGACAGTCAAGCCCTGGATGGGAGAAGACCCCCCTCTGTGCAGTGTGGTGAGGCATGTACCCCCACTTGAGTCAGGAACAGCTGTAGGGGTGACACTGTGACAAGCACATGCGGCCCCAAGGCTCTTCCTGCAGTTCCTACATCCACATTCACAGTGACAGAAGTGAGGTTCAGAGAGGAAAACAACTTGTGCCAGGCTGCACAGAAGTGGGACCAGGGACAGCCCCAAGCCCAGCTCATACTAACAGTGTGGGCAGCTCACTCTCAAAGCCCTAGGAGCTCTCCATGAGCCTGGCTTCCCCAGCTTGGGGGCTCCTGCTTCCCTGTTTAAGGAGGAAGAACCATCTTTCCAGCAGTGACGCTACCTCACTCGGCACTCTATAACACTAGCAGGCCTCCTCAGCACAGGTCCCAGCTGACCAGGGGACCCACAGGGCCTTTCAGAGCTCCCCGGGCCTCCGGAAGACAGCAGCAGTGGGGTGCAGGCCTGGCCCAGGTGGCCCATGGCAGACCCAGCTGTACGATACCCTTGTGAACAAGAGGTGGCATGGAGTCCAGGGTAGATTGCTCTTGGCTGGAGCCCCCAAGGACTGTGGCAAGCGAGAGGGGTGTCTCAGCCAGTGGTGTCTCCAGCCTGCTGAGCACCCAGGCCCTGGTGGAGCCAGGAGCAAGGCCCTGCCGGCTCCTGCGGTCTCTGGGGGAGGGCCTGTGGGACGAGGCAGGAGGGAGTCCAGCCACAGCTCCAGACGCAGATGGTCCTGTTCTCCTTGCCGCCTGCCTCTTCCCCAGGAAAACAAACCCGCTCAGGGCCACCAGAGCCTTTTATCTCCTGTCTGTGTCACATCCCCTGCGCCTGAAGCCACTGCACTGTGGGCTGCTCTGCGGGGGTCTGGCTAGGGTGGCCTTGGCATTTTCTGACCTTGGGCAGCTCTCCCAGGAGGGCTGGGTGTGGGGAGGAGCTCCTGAGGAATGGACACAGCCTCTTCCCACCCCTGGACTGTCCCTTGCCATCACGGGTCACAGCCACAGTGCCAGGGCTTGCAGTCTCCCGACGAACCAGGAAGACTGAGCCTGGGGCTGGAGAAATAGGACCAGTGAGAAGGTGAGACCCCAGCAGGCGGGCTGCCCTGGGTGGTCCCGCCACCCTGGGCCCTGTGAGAGCAGCCTTGTAGGAGAAGGGGCCCCAGAAGGAGGTCAGGGGCTGGATGCCCACCACCAATCTGGGTCGCCCATCGGTGCCCAAGGCTGGCTGGGGGAAGACTCTGAGGGCAGCACATTCCACTCCCAGGGCTTCAGAGGAAGGAGGCAGCAGCAAAGCACAGGTTCTGGGACCCTGGGTGGGCTCCCCAGCTGCCCTCCCTGCCCCTTCTCCAAGGAGACCAAGGCTGGAAGGGGCAGCAAGAGGTCCCCAGAGCACAACTTCAGGGAGGTGAGGGCTTGCAAGGGTGCCACCAACTCCTCTGCCAGGCCAGAGTGTTCCTCCTCAGCACCCCAAAGCAGGCAGACAGGCATCCCATGGCCCTGCACCCCACCGCCAGGGGCTGGACCGGAGGAGCAGAAGAGGACGAGGCCGAGGGGCAAGGAAAAGCTGGCTCCTCAGCCCAAGCCAAGGCGCCCGAGGGTAACTGCCGCAGCCGTGCGGGCCACAGGCAGCCCTGCCCGGCGAAGGCGGGTCGCTGGACCCCTGCAGGGGTGGCCCGCGGGCCTGCCGGCCCCCCAGCTTCCCGCCCCTAGCGGGCGGCGCGGCCGTGGCCGGTGGGCGCCCCCTCCCCTCCCCTCCCCAGCGCGCGGGCGGCGGTGACATCACGGCTCGCGGCGGGAGGGGCGGCGGCGCCCCGCGCACATCACTTCCTCGGCGCCTCCCGCGGGCGCGGACGCGGACCGGCGGCCTCCCGCTCCCGACCATGGCGGCCCCCACCCCGCCCGCGGCCGACGAGCTCCCGGGCCCGGCCGCCCGGCGCCTCTACTCCAGGTGGGACGCGGGCCGGGGCGGGGGCGGCGCGGGTGGCGGGCGGGCGGGCGGGAGGCGGCCGCGGGAACAAAGGCGCGGCGGCGCGCGACGTGGCCGGGGACGCGCCTCCTCCGCCGCGCGGGCTGCGGTGGGCGCCGCGGCGGCCCTCTGCCTGCAGCCCCCTCCCATTGCCGGGCGACCGCGGGACGGGCGCCTCCACCGCTCTGCTAGCAGCTGCATTTCCAGCACGGCGGGGGGCCGCTGCCCGCAGCTCCTCTCCAGCCTGGCGCTGCCACACACACACACCCCCACCCGGCGCAGTGGGTGGCATGGCCAGAGACCCGCTGTCGTGGTTGGGGCCCTGTTCCCCCTGGTCACCCCCCCAGTCCCAGGCCAGCAGGACCAGGGACTGGAGCCAGCCAGCCAGGTGGGTGTGTGCCTGTCTAAAAGGCACCTGCCTCCTGGCAGATTCACATGTGATCCAGCCGCCTGGGCTCAGTGCCCATGCCTACCGGGGATGACAGGGTGGCTCTGCCCCTGCCCATGTGCCTGCCTGGAGACTCCTGGCCTGTCAAGGGTGTTCCTCAAAGTGGTACACTGGGCCTGGCTGCAGGCACATGGTCCCTTAAGTGGACAGGGTGCTGCCAGTTCATTCAGCCTCAGGCAGGGCTGGGTGGGCCTGAGTGCTGGGCAGGGGCTGCCCAGAGGCATGCCCAGCTCCCTACAGTGGCCCTGCAGACAGGCCCCTGACTGAGGGATGGCTGTCTTGTTTTCCTCTGACCATCTCTGACACTTAGGAAGCTCCTGCTAGAGGCCTGGCCCAGAGAAGTCTGATACTAGCAAGCCTTTGTTGGGCACTCCAAAGAGGCTTTGGTGGCCAGTGCCCCCTCCCACTCCAGTGCCAGTTCTTCCCTGTGTACTACTCAGAGACACGGCCCCCATCACCCCTGGTCTGTCTCCTGCCCCCCCATGGGTGGAGGGGCTTGAGGACAGGTTTGCTGGCAGCCAATGCTGGAGACCTGCCTTAAGACCTTCCCCAGGGCTCCAGGAGTGGGGGATGTGCAGGGTGACATCTGCTCTGGGTCCTCTGCCAGCGAGGGGAAGAACTGATAAGGACTGTCTGTGGGCAGGATGGGCCCCATGCAGTTCAGGGCCTTGGCTCTGGGAGACCCCACATAGCCAAGCATGGGCCTGGGGGGATGGGCAAGTGGCTGGGAAGCCCCACAAGAGGGGGACTTGGGGTTTCTCTCCTGCCTCCCATCTGGGGCTGGGAAGGAGAGGGGCATCAGGGAACCCACCTTGGGGTGCCCCTATTAGAGGTGCTCCCGGGAAGCTGCCACGGGCACCTTTATGGAGCATTCTCTGGTGTGGGGCAGGCCACCCCCACCGCTCACCCCATGCCCTCTCCCCAGGCACTGTCCCCTACAGGGCCCTAAGGAATGACTGCCCTTGGAATCCCTGTGAGCTGACCTCAGGTCTCTCCTACAGTGAGGTGGCCCTCATGTCCACTTCCTCTCCAGCAGTTCCCCACTCCTCCCAAGCTCCCCAGCCCTCCCTGCCCCCTGCTCTCTCCCCACCCCCTTGGCTGTTAAAGGGGAGTCATTGTGGTTTCTCTCCAGGGGTGGCTGGACAGGAGGCCGGGATTTGGGGCTAGTTGTGAGCAAGCATTGGCCCAGGGTATGGGTAACAGTCCTGGAGGGAGGGGCCTGTAAGGATTCAGGTAGTGGACAGCAGGGCTGAGGGGCCCAGGGCTGCACATGGTAGGTGCTGGGCACTGGATAAGGAGCCAGCCTGGTAGTGGACACCAGAGGACGCCTTAGAGTCTGGTGGAGGCTAACAGTTGTGTCAGGAGGCCTGACAGGGCACCATCAGAAATGGTGGCTGGCAAGCAGGGTGATGTGCTTCAGATGGGGCCATGGGCTGATGGCTTCTCCCAGCATGCTGCGTTGGGTACTAAGGCCAGGCCAGAGGGTTGGGCAGGATATGGTCGCCACGTCAGCCAGGCTGGCCACAAGGGAGCTGGTCACCACTTCTTTAACCAGGTCACCAACAGGCACTGGTGGAATCTTGGCAGAGGGTAGCCCACCTCCTGGGTGCTGTGGTGTGGCATTGGTCAGCCTCGTTCAGTGGAGAGGTACTGGGTGGCCATCCTGGTCCTGTTGAAGAGGATCAGGCCAGGGCCATTGTGTAGGGGAGGACAAAGCGGGGCTGGTCCCCAGGCGCCTGGCAGGGTCTTTCTCTTCCTGGGAGGTGGAGAATGTTGCTTATTAATTAAGCAGTGCATCTGCTTCAGGTGTCAAATCCCAGGTGGGAAGGCTACCTATCTCAGGATTGGGGTGGCCAGTCGGGGGTGCTAAGCCCACAGCCCTGGGGAACCCTCCATCTCTGATTTCTAACCCTGAGAGTGGGATGTCAGGTAGACCTTGGGGCGGACAGACCTTCTGGAGTTCCAGATAGCTTGGCCTCTGTCTGCCCAGGGTGGCTGCAGCCCTCAGGGTCCCCAGTGCACATGGGCCCTGGACAGACGACTGACAGGCAATATCTCACAGCCTGCAGAGGTGGTGTGGAGGGACAGAGGATCTAGGATCTTCTTCCTGAGTGAGGAAGTTGCCCCTACCAGGCTGGCATGGTCCCCAAGAGGGCAGGAGTGGGCAGCCCACAGGCATGGTGGAGGGCCTGGGAGCCCAGGGGGTCTGCGGTTGATGTGAGGGTGCAGAACCTGGGTTCGGCATGTCAACAGGTACCGACCAAGGAGATGATCCTGCCCTGCCTGCCTTAGCCAAGCGTCCTGGGGTAAGGTGGTCAGTGGCTGGGAGAGTAGTGCCCAGGCCCTGGAAACCCTCCCTGCCATCCTGAGGTTCCTGATTCTGCTCAGACCACCAGATCCTCTCAGGGAGCCGAGCCCCCAGGCCCACTGTCCAGCTCCCTCTGACCCCAGCTGTGCCTCCCTCCTTCCCATCCCTGGGTCCCTTCTGCTCAACCTCAGGAGACCTCCCACCTCAAACAGCAGTGGGGAGCTTCATGGGTAGTCCTAGGGTCCCAGGTGAGGCAGCACCCAGTGGTGGGCCAGCTGGGAGGCCCTTATGAGGCTTGGGTCTTCCATCAGTGCCTTGCCCTGCGGGGCCCTGGATTCAAGACCTTCTCTGAGCCCCTGTGACCCTCTGTCCAAGCTGGATGCTGTACCTCTCTACATTCGGGGGAGTTCCTTTGCCCAGGGAGGGTCACACTGTTGCCTCCTCACAGGTTCAGTGCTGGGGGACTGAGGACAACCAGGATCTTGGAAGGGTTAGGAGAGCCCCCACTGACTTAGGGACAGCCTCCCCATGCCCCAAGTGGCCCTACACGTTGGCTAGACCTAGGGCCCAGAGCTTACCTTAGACAGTTGGGCAAGGCTCAGGACTCTGTGTTCTATGTCAGTTGAGCCTGCAGACTGGGCCAGGCTGGGGTCAGGTGGGAGCAGGCTAGACGCCAGGTTCTGCAGAGAACAGAAAAGGCCAAGTGCTGACCCTGCCCAGCCCTCAGCCGGGCCATCCTGGCAGCTGGCAGACATTCCAGGTGGGAGAGCTAGACCCATCTGCCAGCCTCTGTACATATCAGATGGGAAAGGTCTGTTCTTTGGGGCTGCGGTGCCTGTCCCCACTCTTGTATCCACCAGCGCTGACCAGCACCCGCTACGTGCAGCCCCAGGCTCCTGGAGGACCCAGGCCCTGGCACAGGGCCAGACCCTAGTCAGTTTGCTGAGAAGCCGGTGCTGACTGGGCAGATGGGCACACTGCACCCGAATGCAGCTGGGTTTGGCCCCTCTACTCTCTCCCAGCCCCAAGAGGTGGAGGAGGATTAGCTTCTACTCCCCGCCCCTCCTGTTTGTGCTCATCCTGCCTCTGAGCTGCCCTTGATCCCTTGATCCACATCAGGACCCAGGGAAAGAGGCCCCAGGGCACCTCTTTGCTCCTCTTGGAGCAGAGGCCGCTGAACCTTTGCCAGGGACCACCCTGGAGGTGTGGGGGAACAGGTCAACCCCAAGTTGGTCCATCCCTGGGGCCCACAGCTGGTGGGAGAGAGGTGCAGGTCCCTGCAATGCCCGCTCCCAGCATGGAGGGACAGCCTGTGGCCCTGAGTTTGGCGGAGAAAGCAGTGTGCAAGGTGGTGTACGGCACACCCCGCCCCCGTCCCCTGCTGCTGCCCGTGGGCCTGGAGCTGTGGCTGTATGTGCAGAAGATGCGCCACCTTCGGAGGAAGAGGTGCAGGATGGGTGCCCTGCTGGGGCCGGGCGCTGCCTAGAGGGTGGAGCAGAACCGGGTTGTCCTGATAGGTGGAGGGCGGGTGCCTTGCCAGGTGACTCCCCACCTTCCTAGCCTGGGTTAGACCCATCCTGGGTCCAGGATGGCCATGCTGGTGCTCCCTTTGGCCCTGGCCCTTCCTGAGGCGGAAGCCCGTGCTGCACTCTGGACCTGGAGGATGGTGAGGAGCGGGGGCGACTCCCTAGCCAGCAGCAGACCCCCACAGACCCCAGGTCCCCTCCTCCACAGCACTGAAAGGACAGCAGCCCTGGGCAGGCACAAACAGCCTTTAATTAAGAGGACTGTGTGCGGCACTGGCCATAGCCGAGGAGCTATCCTGTGGTAGGTTGCCACGGCAACCATGGGTTACACTGACCAGTGTGGCATCTGGATGGCCTTTTCCAGAGGGCTCGGCAAGGTGACTGCTGAGGATCTGAGCAGGGAGGGATGGAGACCCTACATGCTGGGCGGCCTGAGGGGTCTGGCCTTCTGGTCGAGGCCGTGCCCCTGACCCCTGGTCCTTGAGAGGCCAGGTGGGCTGTGCTGGCCCCTGGGAAGCAGGGAGGTGGCAGGAAGCCTGCCGTCCTTGACTGCTGCAGCCAGGAGAGGCAGGCCCCACAGCCCCCCTGACCCCAGGGGGTGGCACCCAGAGTCAGGCTCCGGGCCAGGCACAGTGTAGTTCCTCATGAGCTCTTGGCCAGCTGAATGATGGCCAAGAGTGCCTGGGCCCAGCAGGCCTGGCTTGGAGCAGGCCAGTGGGGCCCGGCACGAAGCCTGAGCCTATGGGGTGCAGGGTGCTTGGGCCAGCCTCTTGGGGATCCACCCCCATCTGTTCACGTGGTGCCATTACTTGAGAAAGTTCAAAACGCCCCATTTTCTTGATAACACAGGAATAAAGTGAGTGGGACATTGTGTTGGCGTCAAAGGGACATTTGGTTCAGACAAGAAACGCTGCCCGACACACCCCCATCATTCCTGACCAGGGCCACGCTGGCCGGGGCTGGCAGGGCAGCACCTGGCATGGAACAGGGCACTTGGTGGTCTGGCAAATCACTCTGCAGGTTTTCCACGAACGGTTCACTTCAAAAAGCAACAGAGAAAATAAGGACCAGAGCCAGCCTGCCCCAGAGCCAAGCCCCTCTTGTCCAGGTGCCTGGGCTGGGGCCTGTGGCACCTTTCCCCAGTAGCTCCCTCCTCCTCTGCCTCTTCTGCCCCTTGTCCTCCCGCCTAGGCACTGGGGCCACCCTCCTCTCACCCCCAGCCAGTGTCCACTTGTTGTGCCCTCCACCCATGCTAACACCCCTCCAGCCCCGGCAGGGCAGAGGCTTTGGGCCCTCGTGACCAGTTGAAGCAGGACAGAAGGGCAGACTGAAGCTCCAGGGTCCCGTAGCAGGGAGGGGCAGATAGTGACCCCAGCCTGTCTTCCTCCCCTGACAACTGTGTCCTGAGACTGCACTCCAGAGGCCTGAGAGCTGTGTGTTCCTCTGTGAGTTTAGGGGCTTCTGCCAGCCTCCAGCTGGTTGTGGGCATTCACTAAGGGGACCTGGGCCCTTGGACATGGGCAGGATTCATGGTCGGAAGCTAGGATGGTTTGGAGGGGCCAGGTCCACCCTGGGGCACATCGGCGTCCACTCCCTTCCTCAGCTGTTTCTCAGGCTTGCCCTAGCTGCAGCTGTGGGTGCTTCTGGGTGTCTCAGGATGGGTGACCCTCAGCTCTGACATAGCCCTGTTTCCAGCCGAGCTCTCCCCTGGAGGCTGGAGGGCTGGCAGTGACCCAGCATGTGCTCCTACTGGGAAGGTGCATGTCCTGCACCTTGCAGGATGGGGAGGGGCTGGGTCAGATTCTACTCCTGTGGCCTCAGTTGCCCTTGCTGGGCATTGGGGGGTCTCTCACAGGGCCTCTTGGGAACATGGGGCACCTGGCACCCTTAGCTGTGCTGCTGAGACCTGTGGAAGGTGGCATGTGGGGTCTGCTCCAGCTCCCTGCAGCTCGGCCAAGTCAAGCACTGACTACTGAGGCCCCCATGCCTTCCCCAGGTGGTGCTCCTGGCCCTGGTGGCCAAGGGCAGGCCGTGAGGGAAGCTGCACGGGAATGCAGATCTGGGACAGTGCTGCTGCCAGGTGTGTGCGAGCATGGCGTGGCTCTGCCACAGTCCACGGAGGCACGTCTTCCATGGCATGGCCACGGAGGAGCTTGGGTCCTCAAGGGACAGCTGCACATGATACCCCTCCCTCTGTCCAGGATGGAGGCCTCGTGCCTGGAGCTGGCCCTGGAGGGAGAGCGGCTGTGCAAGGCAGGCGACTTCAAGGCGGGTGTGGCCTTCTTCGAGGCTGCTGTGCAGGTGGGCACGGAGGACCTGCAGACGCTGAGCGCCATCTACAGCCAGCTGGGCAATGCCTACTTCTACCTGAAGGAGCACGCCCGGGCGCTGCAGTTCCACAGACACGACCTGCTGCTGGCCCGGTGAGTGCCCGCGGGACACAGGCCCAAGGGGCAGCCACACCTGCCCTGGGGTGACAGGAGGGCGGGCACACACTGCCCTATCCTAGAGAGGGCCCTTGACAGGACCCCTGGAAGGGGCTGGGGTCTTACAGTCCCCCAGGGCCTGTGCTCCAGCTGCGACGGGTGTCAGTGTGTACGGAGGGTACGACACGTGCTGTGTCCCACTTGTGGCCTGTCCCTGGCACCCACCTTGCCTCGCGCCTGGGCAGCTCCTCCTCCTCCAGGCCCCCAGGTCACCCTGACCTCAGGCGGAGGCAGTGTCCCACCAGCCCTGCCCACAGGACCCCTAGCGGCCTGGGCACCCACGTCCTGATGTCCAGTGCAGCAGAGGCTCGCTGCAGACATCGTGGCAGGGCCAGTGCCCGTTGCCAGCCCTGCCTGAGGCCTGCAGGGGCCACGGCAGGCCCTGGGCTCCCTGTGGACCATGGCAGCTCTGCAGGCTGCTGGGGGCCAGCAGAGCAGGCAGCACAGGAAGTGACCCTGCCCAGCCTCACCCAGGAGACGCAGGCTCCTGGTCAGCCCTAGGCTGGTGCCCTTGGCCTGGCCTGGCCATCTGCTCAGGCTCCCTGCTGGGCTCAGGGACCTGACCTATCCTCACTCCTTTGCTTTCCAGGACCATTGGTGACCGCATGGGGGAAGCCAAGGCCAGCGGGAACCTGGGCAACACCCTCAAGGTTCTAGGCCGATTCGATGAGGCTGTTGTCTGCTGCCAGCGGCACCTGGACATTGCCCAGGAGCAGGGGGACAAGGTAGATGGTTGGCTTAAGAACAGGGGACAGAGGAGGGGCTTGGTCCAGGAGAGGGGATGAGGGAAGGGGTGGCTTCCTTGGCCACCCGCTCCTCCCGCCCCTGCCCCCTGGCCTAGGTCCAGACCCAGGCATGGTCAGGCAATGAACCGCTTATCCCCACTCAGCTGTCCCCCTGTAAGAGGGAAGGCAGAGACACCCCTAAGGACTTGGGAGAGTCCAGATCCCTCAGAAACAGGGCTGCCCCAGCTCCTGCCGTGAGGCTCGGCCTCCCCAGCAGCTGGCCCAGCCTGGGTTCTGCTCTCTGGTTTTCTGTCTCCCCAGCGCTGCCTGTGTCCCTGCCACTCCTTGTAGGGCTCCGCCAGTGGGGTACTCTGAAAGGAGAGGCAGGCATCCTGGATGTCACCCCAGCCTCTGGTGCAGGAGGCTGACCATTCCTGGCCCATCTCCCCCCATGACTCTATGACAAAAGTGTTTCTGTTCCTCTTGTTGGGTTGGGGAAACTGAGGCTAGGGGCAGGGTGGCTGGCAGCCACACTGTGCTGAGAGCCCTAGCAGGAGCTCTTACCCTGGGGCATTAGAGAAGGGCAGCAGAGGACCCGGCCACCTTCACCACCCCGGTTGGCAGCAGGGGAAGGGATGGATGGAGTAGGTGTCCCCTGAGTCCTCGCCTCAAGGCTCCAGAACAGCTGTTGGCAGGCTTGGCACACACTTGGGGTGACATCCCAGCCAGGAACTGCTGGGGGGACAGCGGGGCACTGCCCACTGGGTCCTCCACAGGTTGGGGAGGCGAGAGCACTGTACAACATGGGCAACGTGTACCACGCCAAGGGCAAGCAGCTGTGCTGCAGCGCTGCTCAGGACCCCGGGCACCTGCCTCCGGACGTGCGTGAGACGCTGCGCAGGGCCTCCGCCTTCTACGAGTGAGTGGGGCAGGCGGCGGGCACGTTCAGCTTCCTGCTGCTTCCTGAGCTTTGTGCTGCACACTGGACTGGGCAGCAGCCCCAGGCACAGAACACCCCACCCAGCTCGCAGCCCTTGCCCTGATCCCACCAGCAGACCTCCACTTGCACCTCAGGGACTGGCAGGACCTGACCCAGCCCCAGCCCTGTTCCCACCAGCAGACCTCTACTTGCACCTCAGGGACTGGCGGGACTGACCCAGCCCCCAGCCCTGGAGCTCAGCCTGCACTGAAGCTCAAGGAGCCCATGGCCCGTGTCCATGGCACACCCCTGAGGGCCACCCAGCACCTTCTCACCTGGGAGGTGGGTGTGGCCACTTCCCTGCAGCTGGGAGGGACAGACTTAGACAGACTCCACTCCTAGGAGGAACCTGTCACTGGTGAAGGAGCTGGGTGACCGGGCGGCCCAGGGCCGGGCTTACGGCAACCTGGGCAACACCCACTACCTGCTGGGGAACTTCACGGAGGCCACAACCTTCCACAAGGAGGTAAACTGGGCCTGGGGACATGGGGTGAGGCTGCTGCAGCAGCAGAGCCCGGCTCCACTTGGCCCCAGGGGCCCTCCTGGCAGTCTCCAAGCTGGGCAGAGCAGGGCGGCAGGGTGCCCACATACCCCGGCTCTATCTGTGCTCCATCTTGGGGTTCCTGGATGCTCCTCTGGACACACAGACATGGACAGCCACCCTGGGCAGGAGAGGCAACACCTGCCTTACTTCAGAGCCCAGGCTGCTCTGCGAGCCTGGGTCTTGTGTCTGTCTCCACAGCGCCTGGCCATCGCGAAGGAGTTTGGGGACAAGGCGGCTGAGAGGAGGGCCTACAGCAACCTAGGCAATGCCCACATCTTCCTGGGACGTTTTGATGTGGCCGCTGAGTACTACAAGTAGGAATCCCCCCAGCCCCAGGGAGAGGGAGGTCCCTGGGAGAACTGGACACCAGCCCAGGAGGTGACTACTCCAGGTGGGGAGTGAGACCACCCAGCTTCCCTAGGAGCCAGGTGGGGGCTCCAGGAAAGGCAGATAAAGGTCACTGTTTCCCCGGCTTGTGCCAGAGCTCTGGGCCATCACCTCTGCCTCTGGCCTGAGTAGTTGCCACCAGGTAGAGCTGGTTATCAGGACCAGGCCCATAGTCAACCACAAGTGACGTGCTACGGGCCCTGCTTCCTGGAGGCTGACCCCCACCCCACGCAGGAAGACCCTGCAGCTGTCCCGGCAGCTCAGGGACCAGGCGGTGGAGGCGCAGGCATGCTACAGCCTGGGCAACACGTACACGCTGCTGCAGGACTATGAGCGGGCAGCCGAGTACCACCTGCGGCACCTGCTCATCGCCCAGGAGCTGGCTGACAGGTGCGCACAGATGTGGTGGGAGGGGCAGGAGGGCCCTGGGGACAGGTGCGCACAGAGGTGGTGGGAGGGGCAGGAGGGTCGTGAGGAGAGATGGCTCAGCCTGAGCCCCTGGGGCACCACTGACTGTGGTGTGGCCCCAAGCGGGGCTGCCCCACCTGGGCCTCAGCCACTCCCGCCATGGGCAGTGCCGCCCACAGGGACCCTTGGCACACACTGGTGGGCTTCCCCCATGGCCCAGCCCATCGCCCCACACCATGCCTGTGTGAACACGACACCTGAGATGCAGCCCTGGGCACAGGTCCAGTGGACAGAGGGCTCGGAGGCGCAGGGCTGCCGGACTGGCTGCCTTCTAGTGGCCCCAGGCTTTCCTCCAGGGAACCTAATGGAGGACAGCAGTGGCCTGGAACCAGAGGTGGTGCCTATGGGGTAGTGTGGGGGTGCTGGATGCCTCAGGCCCTGCACTCAGCTACCTCCACCTTGTTTTGAAAATGAATGACCCCAGGGTGGAGGGAGCCTGGGGAGAAAGGCTCACCTGCCATTATGGGGCAAGCCACTCACAGGAGGCTCCCTGACCCCGCTGGTCCCGCCTGCCTCCTACGCCCCGAAGGCAGTGCAGGCTCTCGGGCAGGCTGCTTCCCACACTGGGGCCTCTGAGTCCAGGCTTTTCAGGGGAAGGGGAACTGGCACAGAGGGTTGGGGCTTCTCCCTGATGGTGGCTGGATTTGTGGGTCACTGCAGACCAGGATGTGCTGTCCGACTACCCTGTCAGTGCCTCTAGGGACCTTTGGGACACGCCCCATGGGGCTGGGGTTCTAGCTATGGCAGCTGACATGAGGGGGCCCTGACTGTCAGCAGGCTCAGGGGCTTGGGATGCGGGCAGGCCTGGGGAGGGCAGGTGTGGACTCTTTCCCTCCACAGAGTGGGCGAGGGCCGTGCGTGCTGGAGTTTGGGCAACACCTACGTGTCCATGGGGAGCCCTGCACAGGCCCTGACCTTCGCCAAGAAGCACCTGCAGATCTCCCAGGAGGTGAGCTGGCTTGCCCTCCCAGGGCCACTGCTCTGCGGGCATCCGGGGCCCTCAGACGTCGCCTGGCCTGCTCTGACTGCAGGGCCAGGGCACCTTTGCTAGCTGGTGTCCTTCCTGGACTTCCCCTTCTGTCTTTCTAGGTCTGCAGCAGCCTCCTCGGCTACCAGGTCCCTCAGAGGCCTGGTGGCTGCTTGACTGTGTGGCAGGGGACCTGTTTTCCCCTGTAGTGTTACTGTTCTCCACAGGGGACCCATGACTGGGTCCTTGTGTTGATTTCCCTACCCCAGCCTCTGAGGAGACTGGCCAGGGTGGGCCATGGGGATGCCTGTGCCCCCACTGAGGTGGGGGTGACCAGCTGGAGGAGCCCAGGACACAAGGCCGGCCCCCTGGAGGCTTCCTCTGAGCCCCTCAGCTGGACACCTTCCTGGAAGTCGAGTCTCCTCCTTGGAGAGGACGCCCAGGACAGTCCTCCTGTGTCAGGGCGGGATGTCACTAGTGACCCCTCGGCCTCCCTGGCTGAAGATAGGCCAGTGCCTGCCCGACCACCACAGCCCCAACTGGGAGTCGCTGAGTGGGTGGAGTTTGGGTGCCCAGGTGTACGTGGGGAGGGACAGGAGATCCCTGTGAGAGCAGAAATCTGGAGAGCCTCTCCACGGGGCCCGCATGGCCAGCCCGGACATCCCCAGAGCACAGGCAGGGGGCTCCAGAGCCCTCTGAGCTCCACGCAGGAGTCCCCATGCCCCACTCTCTGGCTTGTTTCTGAGCCATGCAGATGCCCAGGAGGGTCCTGTGGAACCTTGTGCCAGGCTGGTGGGGCCTGAGGTGCAGCCTGGGTCCCTGGGGCTGGCCAAGCTGACCACCCACCAGAGGGTGCCCAAGAAGGAAGCCACCACATGGCACAAAACCAGGCTGTTTGAGCCTCTGAGCACTTATGGGGTGTGACTAGGGACTGCTGGGGACATCCAAGGACAGACCCCCAACTCCACTCCCAGGGCCACAGTCAGGCCCAGTTCCCTCAGAGACCCAAGGGTCAGGGGTCAGCCTAGGAAGTCAGGGATGGTGTATTGTGGGCTCCTCACTGTCCCCTGCCCAGTCTCACCTGCCCCTGCTTGCTGCAGATCGGGGACCGAAACGGGGAGCTTACAGCCCGCATGAATGTCGCTCAGCTGCAGCTGGCCCTGGGCAGACTGACCAGCCCAGCAGCTGCAGAGAAGCCTGACCTGGCTGGCTATGAGGCACAGGGTGAGTTCCTGGGCTGGGGTCCTGTTCTTGAGGGGCTCTCACCTCTGGGCCACAGTGGGGTTGTGTCTGTGCAGGGTGTGACAGGGTCACTGGGAGCAAGCCTCCCAGGGAGCACAGGGCCGGCTGCCTGGGGCCAGGCAACGAGGAGGGGGTGCCTCCCCGGATCGAGGGGCTGTTAACAGTGGTCATATAAGGAAAGAGCCCCAGTGGCAGGGAGCCCCCGGAGGCAGGGAACCCCCGGAGGTGGAGAGTCTCCAAGAGGCAACTCGGGCTGCTCATCCCATCCCCAGGGCATGTTGACATCCCCGCACCTTCTCTGTCCGTCCTTGTGCTGGATCAGGAGAGAGACTCCTGCCCTGCTCTTGGGAGCTTACAGTGGGTGGGACAAACATCGTGTGCAGAGGGTGAGACTGGGTGTCCCAGGTGCTGGGGTAGGGGCAGGGGCACTGTCACTACCAGAGCAGAGCAGGGATCAGGTGACGTTGAAAGAGGTGGGACAGACATGGGCATGCAGGAGGCAGGGACAGCACAGGCAGAGCAGAAGTGGACAGCTGGAGGCCTGGGACAGTAAAGGCCAGCAGTCATCCTGAGCCCCTTCCATCACAATCAAGGAGCACATGGGACCAATGGCAGGAAAAACAGGAGAGGGCCACTCACTGCCCCCAGCTCCAGGGCTTCCCCACCCACCTACCCACCTTCCCAGAGCAGTCCAAGGGGTCAGTGCCCATCATCAGGATGGCCAGGGAGGGCATTCTGGGAGGGGGGTGTCAGGTCACCTGACAAGTAGGCTGGGCTCAAGGGAGCCTGTCTGCGTGGAGTTCCAATCAGGTGAGGCCCAAGCAGGCCAAGGCCACTCTAATGGCTTTATTCACAGACTGCTGGCCATCCTGTGCAGGTCAGCAGTGTGCACTCACAAGGACAGATTGTTCTCTGCAAAGCAAATAGATTCGTACACACGAGGGAAGGGCTGGGTGAGGTGGGTGCTGCCTGGCTTCCTGAGACCACCTGCAGGGGATGGGGAGACTGAGCGGGGAGGGGGGGGGGCAGCTGCCCCGGCTCACCTGGCCCCGGCTCCAGGAATCCCACCTCAGGCCCTGTCTGGCTCTGCTTTGAGGGCACCCACCCGCAGCAGCCTCAGGATCCCCAGAGGGGATATGTGCCACCATGTGGCCCCTGGTGCCTGTGGCTGGGATTTTCTGAGGGTGGGTAGCTCTGCCGAGAGAGTTTCTGTCAGAGTCCCCACCTCGTGTCCCCTGGCCAGAGCGACTGCCCTCTAGGAGCCCCCCGCAGCAGGTCGGGGCAGGGTTGGCAGCTTCTGGGAAGGTGCCCACAGGCTGCCAGCTCCATGTCCTCCTGCAGCTTTCCTCTGAGCCAAGGAATGGGGGCGTGTCGTGGGTGAATGCCCCAGGACAAGGCGGCTTCTGTCCTCCACACTGGCTCCTCTGCTCTGCTGTGTGCTGGACCTTCCCAGCCTGGGGGCCCCCAGAAGCCTCCTTCTGCCAGGCTGCCAGTGGCCAGGCTGCAATGGAGCTGGGGACATCCATGCCGGGATCACGGTGGGAATGAGGTCTGTGCTGCAGAGTGGCTGCCCTAGGCCTGAGTCCATCTAGCCCCAGCATGCAGCTGTTGAAGGCAGGCCTGTACCCTGAGGGTCGGGGTGGCCCCGAGGGAGACCCCCACACAGGTGAGCTTGGCAGTGGGGGCGTTGGAGGCCACACTGGTCTGGACCTGGCGCTGGGGTGGAGGGAGGGGCTGAAAGGCTTTTGCGAGGCTGACATGGTTCATTTCCTTTATTCATCTGGACTGAGTGCTGGGGGTGGGCTGGCCCTGGCTTCCAGAAACTGTCCAGTGGGGCTGGGGCTGGGCAGGTGCATATCCAGAGACAGTCGGTGTGGTTTGGAACACGGGGTGGGGGGGGTGGCCAGAAGGGCACCTGGGAGACAAACCCAGAGGGTGGAAGAGGGCCTCCTGGGGAGAGGGTGAGGGGAATTCACAGGGGAGGAAGGAGGCGGGGAGTGGGCCCTGCAGTGCCTGGGTGTGGCATGGGCGTAGCTCACCCTGTGGGGGGTGGGGTGGGCGTGGGCTTGTGCTGGGCAGGAGGTTGCCTCCCCTGTGGTAGGTGGGCTGGGCAGCTAGTGGAGAGCAGGCATCCAGGACCCAGTGGTTTTTCGGGCTTGATACAAACGGGGGCTTCTGTGCAGCTGGAGAAAAAAACTTGCTGTCCTCGAGTTTGCGTGCAGTTCTGCCTCCTCCCTACAGGCTGCTGCCCCTGTCCAGCATCTCTGGGGGACACCTTGTGAGCCCAACAGCCACAGACCACTTCTGTGGCCAGAGGGCAAGGTGGTAGCCCAACAAGGCCCGGGTCTGTCTCCAGACCTTCATGGAGAAGGCACTAGAGGGGCAAGCTGGCTGCAGTAGCAGGCAGGGGACAGACACAGGTCCCAGCGGGCTGAGCAAGGGTCAGATTCTGGCTAAGAGGAAATACTGGGATTTGGACCATCCGAGTTGCCGTCAGCAGGCAGGGTAGGCTGCTGGGGTGGGAGGTGCCCAGGGACAGCCCTTGGACATAGCTGCTCTGCACAGGAATGATGATGACAGTGTGCAGGTCAGACTCTGGCAGGGGAGGGGCAGGAAGTTGCACACGCAGCAGGGGGTGTCAGGGCCTGAGGCCCCTGGTCAGGCAGCTCAGCCCAAGGCATGCAGCTGTTGGAGGTGGCTGGATTCAGGACCTCTCAGAATCCAGACAGAGGGTCCATTCAGCTGGGCCCAGAGGGCCTCCCGCCCACGCGGCCTGCTGTAAGAGACCCACCAGGCACCTCCACCTCTGCTAGCCAGAGCCTACCCAGGCCACTCCTGGTAGAGGGCCAGGTGGCCCAGAGCAGCTGCAGGGTCCTGCAGACAAGGTAGGGAAACCGCATCTTGTTCCGGAGCTCCGGGGAGCATCAGAGAGAGGTGGAGCCAGGTTGTCACTGGGTGTGGAAAGGGGCCTCCCAACTCTCTAAGGACTCCTGGGCCCTCCCATGGCATGCCTGCCCCCCAGCTCCACGTGGCTTTGGACTGTCTCCATTTCTGTCTCAGACCAGCCTTCCTCTTCTGGGGGTAGGTGGGCACCAAGAGCTCTTCAGGCAGCAGGAACCCCGCCCCCGCCCCTTCCTGTCCCCTCAGCAGAACTGCCACATTCTTCCAGTGCCTCAGGGTCCAGGGTGAGAGAAGCCAGCAGCCAGGCTGTTTCCAGGGGCAGAGGAAGGACCCTGGCCACCACTGCCAAGGGCTAGGGCAGGAGCCCTGTTCTAGGGCCCTGGTGTTGGGGGTAGGGGGCACATCCTGCTGTCCACTGGATGTGCCCACAGGCCCTGGCTGCTTTGCTCTCTGGCTCAGGGGTGGCCCTGGATGCCCAGGGCCATGTTGGCATATTCAGGGGCTGGCTTCTGGCCTCCTGGCCAGATCCCTCAATAGGCTCCTGCAAGACAGCGCCCTCTGGATCAGTGTCTCCCCGGGGAGGGGGTTCCTCAGAGCCTGGGGGTGCTCAGGTGCCTCCCCTGCCTCTCCTCCTCCACCTGCTGCAGAGGCTCTGGGCCACTGGCTCTTAGGACAACTGGACATTTGCTGTGGAGGGACCAGCTTGGGTCCCCAAAGTCCTTGGCTCCCTCTGCTTGTCCTCTCCACCCTGACCATGTTTAGGAACCCACCATCAGACAGGTGCCATGGACAGGCTTGGGGTGCTGGTAGCTGGCCCAGGACTTCCCTGGGCCACTAGGGTAACATCTGCTGCCCACCAGCATCCTCCCGGGCACATCTGCAGCCTCTGGACGTTCACACTCTGCGAGTCCTGGGCATTGCCCCTTTCTGAGTGGAGGCAGGTCCCTACCCAATTAGGGGCAGAGGCACGGACTCTGCAGGGTGGCAGCCAACAGCCCACACGGCACCCCTGCTCTCCTCTGCAGGGGCGTCTGGGGACTGGAGAGACCTAGGTACGCTGTGCAGCATCATGGCCCGTGGCCTCAGCCTTTGATGGTGTCTGGCCCAGGTCCATGATTAAGACCTGGGGGAGATGTTGGTGGTGGCCTAGCTGTGCTGGAGGGGCTGGGATGGGTAGCTGTGCTCCAGCCCTGTCCCCCAGGCCCAGGTGCTCCTGGGCACCATGTGACTGCCATGAGCTGGCTCCCCTTCCTCTGGTGTCCTGGGGGGTTAAGCTGAGAGCCCCAGGCCAAGGGGTAGGGTAAAGGTGGCTCTCTGCCCAGCACCTTCCTGCTGTCCACTGGATGTGCCCACAGGCCCTGGCCATTTTGCTCTCTGGCTCAGTGGTGGCCTGGACAGGAGGGTGTCTGGCCATCCAGCTCCCACCCTTGCCTGCTGCAGACATCCACAGGCTGCTTTATGAGGTGAGCCCCATGTGGGCAGTGCCAGGATGGCTCTGAGTGTCCACTGATGCCAGCAGCACCTCCACCCATCCACAGGTCCTGCCTCGCGAGCCCTGGCCATGGGCGCACGCCACCATGAGATGAGCTGTGTCTAGCATGTGTCCCCGGGTGCTGGGTGCTTGGGTCCCAGGAGGACTGGGGTGAAGGGTCTGGTGAGGGTCTGCCAGGCCAGGAGAGAAGGCCCACCCATTCCTGGCAGGGCAGTGTCCTTGGAGAGGTGCAAGGGCATGTGGGGGTGGACAGAGGCTGAGGTGTTCTTCCCTCTCTTGTCCCCAGCCTTTCCATGGCTGGCTGCACCCCCCTCCATCTCACATGCCACCTCCTCAGAGGGGCCAGTGCCAACCCTTGGTCCCTGCCAGCCCAGCCCCACTGGTCCTCCCTGCCAGGCTCACCTGGCTTGGCCTGGGGGCTCTCCGCACTCCAACTTCATGCTGTGCTGTCTCCTTTCCTCTGGTCAGCCTTCCCTGCATAGACGGGCCTCCAGGCTAGCTCTCCCTGGCTGGCTCTGTCCTGCAGGTGCTCAGTGAGTAGCCGCCCAAGGCCAGACTCTCTTTTGTCCCTGTGCTGGGACAGGGCCGTCACTGGATCCAGGACTGAACTGCACCCTGCCCCCACTCAGGGACATGTTTGAGACAGAGGCCTGGGGGCGGTCCAGCTGCAGGCCAGCCCAGGGCCCCTTGGCAGGATGGTGACCACAGAATCTGCAGCTGGGCAGTCTTGGGATAAGTAGCTGCTCTTGGGAGGACATGGGTCCCCATGGCTCATCTTCTTGCCCTGCCCGCCAGCAGCTGCCAAGTGCCCAGGTTCAGAGTCCTTCCTCCAGGGGCCAAGGAACCCAGGGAAAGGCCCTGCATGGGACTGACTTGGGGCTCATCTGAGGCCTTGGTCACCCCAGCCCTGGCTGGGGTTGTCCACAGTAAACTTGAACGAACCCAGAAGCGCCACCTGCTCCCAGGCCAGAGTGTGAGGGGGCTTCAGAGGAAGCCGCTGAATGGAGCCTGTGGGTCTCATTGATGGTGGAAGGGCATTGTGGGCAGTGGGCAGAGAGCCTCGTCCAGATCCTTGGGGAAAGTCTGGGGAGCACCAATGCCAGTCCACCCTGAGCCCGTGCAGGCCCAGACTCCTGGCGCCCCCCCCCCCCCGGCTGGAGTGTGTCAGTGGGCCCATGAGGGGACTGTGTGGTTGGAAAGCAGGGTGCTGCGCTACCCAATCCTCAGTCCCCCAGGGCGCTGGCCTGGGCCATTTGGCTTCGTGAGCTGAACAGGCACCACTGTCTTCCAGGGGCCAGGCCCAAGAGGACCCAGAGGTTGAGTGCAGAGACCTGGGACCTGCTGAGACTCCCCCTGGAACGGGTGAGCCAGGCTTGGTGGGGGTTGGGGGGCCTGGGGATGGACATCAGCAGAGGTACGGCCAGTGTGTGGGCAGCAGGTTAATGAGCCTGGGGAGCCGTGTTTGTCAAGCTGCCACCACCAGGCTCAGCCCAGCCACTGGGAGATAAATGTGCCCCCCACAGTCTGAGGCCCTTCACTAGCCCATCTGCCACCGGGCCCCCGGAGGCCCTGCTCCTCCCTCTTGCCTGCTGTGGGCCTAGGGGTAGGCATGGTCCTTCCAAGTGCCCCTCCCAAGCCTCTGGATCCCAGTCCTGGTGAGCCCATTGGACTCTTCTGTCCCTGCCCACTCAGACTCTGTCCAAGGTGAAAAGCTGGCAGGGTTCACTGAACCCCAGACACAACCTGGGGTTCCAGGTGTGGGTGCCATGAGGCTCTTGCAGGGCCTCAACCCCTTTGAGCTTCCTGTTTCTCTAGTGTAACGTGGTTCGGTTGTGGATGGCCCTTGGGGCCTGGCTTGGGGTCAGGACACAGGGACGCCATGGCCACTGTCATTGGCTAGTGGGAAGGCTGACATATCAGGAGTCTCCCTCCCTCACCCAGGGCCACATAGCCCTGCCAGCTTCCTCCTCCTTCAGGATACCTGGTGCCGACTGCGTGCACCCAGGAAGTGGGGTCTACTGCACCCTCTTGGCATTCCCTGCAGGGTCCCGAGGTGGTGGACATAGGCCCAGAATGGCCCCACCCATACCTGGCCTGCCTCCCCTCCCCAGGAGCAGAATGGAGACACCCACCATGCAGGGGACTGGCGGGGGCCAGGCAGGGACTCACTCCCTCTCCCCATGAGGAGCAGGAAGTACCAGGAAGGGCCAGACACCGCTGAGAGGAGGCCCCGGGGAGGCAGCCACTCCCCACTGGACAGTGCGGACGTCCGAGTGCAGGTACCTCACACGGTAGGTGCCCCACAGACCAGGAGGCACAGCCAGCCTGGTCACGCTGGGAAGACAGGTCCTGGTGGGCATCCTGGCCCTCCTCCTGGCTCCATGCCACCCCTACAGCCCTAGGGGTGCTCAGTGGAGGGCAGTATCTAGCATCACGCCTGGCCTCGGGGCATCCAGGGGTGCTCTGGCCTCACTCTGGCTGGCCCTCTCCCTGCCTCATGGGGACCCTCCAGACTCATCCATGAGTCACACGAGCATGTTCCTCCCAGAAGGAGGGCACAGTGGGAAGCTGGCATCTACCCAGGGTTCCTCCTGGTCAGGGTCCAGGAGACCCCACTCCACCCTGCACTGGCCAGTCAGCTCTTGTTGCAACTTACAGAGGGAAGGGCTGGGGTGGGCTGATGGCCAGGCAGGTGGATGGGCAGTGGGGTCACAGAGAGGTGGTCAGGCAGGTGGAGGGTGGAGGCCCAGCATCCTGCTGCCTGTAGTTCCCCTGTCCCCAGGGCTTGGCAGGCCTCTCCAGGCAGGAGGGCACTGATGGGGGGCCGAGGTGGAGTCCGGTCAGAGGCCAGCCTGGAGCTCCTCCCAGGACACCTGCATCAAACCAGCTAGAAAATAGTCTAAAAATAGCCCTTCCCCAGCCTGATCAGCACCCTTCCGGCCTGCCGAGGGCGCGGGGGTGCTGGGTGTCCTCAGTGCCTCGCGGCTGGAGACTGCCAGGGCCCCCACTTCCTTCAGGTGCCGAGAGCCACTACTCCATCCGGGCTCCGCCTCTGTCATGGGGAGACTGTAGGGACACTGGGGACCTGGAGGCACCTCCTGTGCTTAGAGTAAGGGCACAGCAAATGCAGCTGAGGCCGGCTGGGGCTGCCCACAGGAGCCAGGGCCACAGCCACCAGGGCGCCAGCCCAGCTGGGGTGGAAGCCAGGCCACACTGCCAGGCTGAGGGCTGCCTGGGGACCTGCTGAAGGAAGAGGTGGCCCAGCTTTGGAAGGAAGCCCAGGGGCCTTGGTATCGGGTGGGAAAAGGGCTTTCAAATAAACTGTCCACCCCCACAGCCCTCTAGCATGACCGCCCACAGGAGCCAGGGAGTGCTCTGCTGAGCTCAGGGAATCCACCTCAGTGTTTACGGAGCAGAACGTGGTGTGTGTGTGTGTGTGTGTGTGTGTGTGTGTGTGTGTGTGTGTGTGTGTCGTGCACGCTGTGCGAGCGAGTGAGCTCTGGAGGGCGGGCTCTGAGAGGCTGAGCCTCACCCTAGTCGTATTTAAGTACCGGCTGAGCCCCCGGGTCCCGGCAGCAGTGAGGCGACACTTGGTGCTTCGGGCGGGAGGTGCTGCACATGCTGGCTCCCCACACAGCTCCTGGCTGCTGCTGCCGGCGGCACCTGTGATCAGCGTGAGTGTGGGGTCCCTGGTGTCCCTGCAGCAGCAGAGGCAGGGGAGCACAGGGGCCTCTGTTAGCCGGGAGTGGGTGGACCTGACCAGGTCTGACACTTCCACTAAAGCAGTGGGATGCAGGGAGGAACGCAGAACCTCACGTGGGAGGGGTTGGGGGGCAGGAGAGGCTGGGGGCAAGGAGAGGTTGGGGGCAGGAGAGGCTGGGACCTGGGGGTGGGCCCCCATGTTCCCAAGTGTGTCCTGCTGGGACTCTCCTGTGGGCCTCTCATGCTCCTGAGGCGTGAGGGTCCTTGTCCCTCCAGAGCCCCTGCAGCAGGCGCTGAGCCCAGGCTGTGCTTCTGGGTCAGGAGCCCACCTCCTGGGGAGGCACCTGTGTAGCACCCCCTTCGCCCGGCGGTCAGGCAGGCCCTGGTCCACACCACCTCCATCTGCCTGGGCCGGCAGCTCCTTGAGCCCCAGGCATGCCTGCGGTCTGCCACCTAAGCTCCTGCATACCCACTCTCCCTTCCCTCCCTGCTTGGCAGGGGAGGGGCTCAGGCCTCAGGGAGGACAAAGCCCAGGGCTGGGGCAAGAGGTCGGGTGAAGGGGTGGGGGTCAACCTGAGGCTCGGAGCCAGGTGGGGCTCTCCTTCATGCTAGTAGGACTGCCCCCTTCCCATGGCTCCCTCAGCAGGGTCCCCTCTGCCTTTGGAGTCCTGACCCCAGTCCTGAGACAGGGTGGTCCACAGGGCTGCTGTATCCAATTCCAGCTCTGCTCTTGCTACGGGGGCCCCTCTGTGCCTCAGCCTCCTGCCTCGAGGCTGCTCTGGCTGTGTCTGGCACTCAGCAGCCCACATCTTTGCAGACCTGGGTCCTCCTGTTCAGGCTCCTACAGCCCAAGAAGATCCCCTGAGGCTGGTGGGCCGGGCCGCGGGTGTAGGAGCTCCCACTGGCCCTCCCTACTGCAGGTGGAAGGCCCTGGGACCTCCCCACCCTCTGTGGCACCCAGGGCCCAGGACAGGCCCCATCAACCATCATGGCCAGGTTGCCACAGGAAGTATGTGTCTAGTGGCCATGTCAACTCCCTGCCTGTCATGGCCAGGTCACACATCTGCCTGTCCATTCATCCAGCAGACACTGGAGAGTGCTGTGCTGGGGGCCAGACACAGGTGGAGCGTGGGTGGGGCGTGGGGAGGCCTTCAGGAGGTGGGTTAGATGGGAGCATCCCAGCCCGAGGCTGGCAGGGCAAGGGCAGGGGCAGGACGTGTGGGGCAGATGACGGGGGTCTGGCCTGGGGTGGCCGCCACAGGAGGAGAGAAGTGGGGTGGCAGGCAGGGCAGGCTGGCCGGGCTGCACTGACCCCGCGTCCCTCCAGAGCATCCCACGGGCCTCGTCGTCGGAAGAGGAGTGCTTCTTTGACCTGCTGAGCAAGTTCCAGAGCAGCCGCATGGAGGACCAGCGCTGTCCCCTGGAGGAGGGCCAGGCGGGGGCCGCTGAGGCCACGGCTGCCCCCACCCTGGAGGAGAGGGTTGGTGAGTGTAGGTGCCTGGGCCTCCATCCTTCCTACATTCGGGTGTTCCCCGAGCCACGTACCTGCTGCCAGGCCAGCCAGGGTCTCCAGCCAGACCCAGTGCTGACCAGAAAGTGCCCACATGCTTTGCCCCAAAGGGTGGGACAGGCCAGCTGCAAAGTGCCCTTTAGTCACAGAGCACCCCCTCCCCCCCACCCCCCGCACTTGTCCCCAGAGCTGCATCCTAGGAAGCGTGTAATTACCCCACCCCTCCGGAGCGCACCGTGTCAGGGTGCAGCAGCAGCCTCGCAGTGCGCGGGAGGCCAGGCTTTCTCCTGTCACCTCCTAGAAAGCCCTGGAGGCGGGTGCAGCTGCAGCAGGGTGAGCCAGCAGAGGCCCTGGGCCCTGTCCCCAGGGCAGGCACTGTAGGCTGGCTGGGCTCAGAGGTCCGAGCCCCCTGCTAGCCCCAGCCCCAGTGTCAGGCCTGGCCCTGCAGTGGGCCCCAGCCTCAGCACCGAGCCCTGCTGCCACCTCCCACCCAGGCCTTACCCTCTGCCCCTTCAGCCCAGCCCTCGATGACAGCCTCCCCCCAAACGGAGGAGTTCTTCGACCTCATCGCCAGCTCTCAGAGTCGCCGGCTGGATGATCAGCGGGCCAGTGTGGGCAGCCTGCCTGGGCTGCGCATAACCCACAACAACGTGGGGCACCTCCGTGGCGACGGAGACCCCCAGGAGCCGGGAGACGAGTTCTTCAACATGCTCATCAAGTACCAGGTGGGCCACAGCCCAGAGCCGGGGCAGGGCTTCTGCACCTAGGGGCCTGCAGTGGGCTGACCCCTGTCTCAAGCCCTGAGGGGTCCCTCCCGGGGAGGGAGCCACCGGCTGGTGGGCAGGCTGCGTGGCCAGTGCCACTGGGTACCCAGAGTGCTCTGCCCTGGACCCCACCTTCTTGGGAGCCTCCACATGCAGGGGGATGACAGTCCCTGGGAAGAGCAGCCTGGGACACCCTCAGGCTCAGGCTGGGACAGGGCACTGCCAGGCACCTCAGGATGTGGCCTCAGGGCTTCCCTCAGCTCCGCCTCTGGGTGGAGGAAATGAAGGGCCCACCCTGCAGCTGCTGGCCAGCTGTGGGATGCAGGCAGGGATGGGCTAGACAGGACCACACAGTGGACATCGAGGTCAGCGCCGAGTCCCGGGATGGGCCAGGTGGGCCGCCTCACCAGCACGGAGATGGCAGGACACGGCTGTGAGCGGGAGGCTCATCCCTGTGTCTCCCTGCCCTTCGGCTGGGCCTGGCACAGTGGCTGGGGTTTTGGGGTCTCCAGGTCAGAAAGACTCTGGAAAATGGCCAGGGGTGGGGCAACAGACGTGCCGCCCCCGCACCTGGCTGGCAGGTTTCCAGATCTGGTGTCCATTCCCACAGAGGAGACGCAACCATGGCTGTGGGCCAGGAGCCGCCTCCAAGCCAGCCCCTCCTCGGGAGCCCAGAACCCCCCACCCTCTCGCACGCATGCTCCAGCGGCTCCGCCGGCTCCCGTCCCTTCTTCTCCAGACCCTACAGAGAAGCTCAGATGCCCCTCCAGCCGACCATTCTCCATGCCAGGGCGGGTGGGGCCCACGGGGCCAGTCACCCACCCCAAGGGGGATCCTGAAGGAGCGCCATGCTGCAGGCCCGGGAACCCCACCCCACAGGCCCGCTGGGGTCAGTCCAGGGCTAACCCAGGTTCCAGGGCAGTGCTGAGGGATGCCATACCATGGTCAGTCCCTGGGGGTCAGCAAGTCTTGGGTGCAGGCCTAGCAGCTGTCTCCTGGGCCTGGTCACTCCAAGCCCCAAGTATTGTTCATCCTGCTTTGCTGGGCAGGCCAGCCCCAGGCTCAGGGCACACAGCCCCAGGAGACTCGTCCACATCAGGGATCCCAGCACAACCCCAGAGCCAGGCAAGCCCTCAGCTAATTTCCCAGGTGGACATGGAGGCCTGAGATGGCCTCTGAGCCAGTGCCTACTGCCTCTGACTTTGGCAAGTCTGCCGACCTCGGGGTGTTGGGACAGGCCCCCCCTCCAAGAGCCTGGGGAGGGCAAGACCACCAACCTGCATGTGTGTCTGTCCAGTCCTCCAGGATTGATGACCAGCGCTGCCCGCCACCTGATGTGCTGCCCCGAGGTCCCACCATGCCAGACGAGGACTTCTTCAGCCTCATCCAGAGGGTCCAGGCCAAGCGGATGGACGAACAGCGCGTGGACCTCGCTGGGAGCCCAGAGCAGGAGCCCAGTGGGCCACCTGAGCCCCGGCAGCAGTGCCAACCTGGGGCCAGCTAAGGCTGCCTGCCACAGCCAGACCTGCGGGCACCTGCTCCTGCACGCTGGGAGCTCACGACTGTCCACAACGGCCATGACCCCCAAGACGCTGGATCCTCCCAAAGCCATGGCTGAGAACCAGCTCTGAGCCCCCAGCCCTTTCCACCGAGCTGACATGGGCACACGCCCACGGCACACCCCTCCCCAGGGCAGCAGGCGCAGACCAGAGGTGCCATGTGGGTGGGGCATGCCTCTGTCCACGGTCCTTGGTTTCCTGCAGGTCTGGCTCTGCCTCTGCCCAGGCTGGGCCTTCAGCATGTTGCCCCCAGACCTGGTGCTTCTTGACCCTCCCTCCAGGGCACTGTCCAGCCCTGCCAAATGTGAAGTTGGCCATCTCCCAAGCCCCCAGAGGGGTCTTCTCTGGGGGCTGTCAGGACACAGGCATGTTCTGTCCCCCAGCTGGTCCTGGGGTAGACATGCAGGGGACAACACTCCCCAGGGCAGGACCCCTTTCCTGGGGCCTGTCTCCCCTTGTAACCTTGTGGTTGGCAGTCACAGAGAGCCCAGTCCAGGGCCACCCATAGTCCCTGGCCCTGGCAGGCAGCCCTGGGCCCACAGAAATCCAAGGGCTCAGCCTTGGCTCCACAGCAGAGGGAAGGGTGGGCAGGAACACCCATTCCCAAACCCCAAGCCTTAGAGCCCTGGGCCAGCAACACAGACGGGGCCTGGGCCTAGGGTGGCACCAAGCTCAGTGGGTGACGGCACCCTCACCTCGCCATCAGGGGGTGATGACGCAGCCCCTTCCCGGGGAGAAAAGCCCCACACACATTGGAGTTGGCTCACAGGGCACCAACCCCCAACCCCCAGACCAGGGCAGGCTCTGGTGGAACCCCTGCTGAACAGGCCTCGGCCGCCACCTGTGGGCAGCCCTTCTGAACCAGTCCGGGGGCTGCCTGTGACCTTCACAGACACCAGGGAAGGCAGTAGCCCTCCCAGATGCCTCCCCAAGCCTGGGGAGGGCCTGTGCCCACCCATGTTACAGCCTGGGCACCAGGCAGGGGACCAGCTGGAGGGCTGACCCTGGGCTCAGCAGGGGACCACTCTTGAGGCGGGCCTCTGGGGATGAGCCCTCATACTTGAATGTACGTGCGTATTTATTGCTCACACTTCTGCTGTGTTGTCAGCGGGTCCTTTCCAGCCCGAGAGGTACGTCCCCCCCAGCCCCCCATCCACCCTTGAGAAATAAAGTGTGCCAGGCAAATGCCGTCTCTGTCCGAAGCAGCGGTGGGCCTTCCTGGGGCTGGGCCCACTGGACATGTGCAGAGCACCCACTACCACCCAGCCCCTGCCCCGAACACCCATAGGCATCTGGGGCCGGTCCCTGCTGCCACTGACGATGGAAGGCTGGGCTCAGGTTAAGCAGTTCCCCTGCACTGTGTCCGTGTCCCCAGGCAGGGCCCCCAGGGTGCTTCCCAGGGTGGGCGAGCTGGGAGCTCAGCCACGTACCTCAGGGGTGGCCCTTGAGAGCAGCCCTCCCCACTGGGCAGCCCCTGGGGCTGCCATGCAGACTCCCCCCCAACCACAGGATCCCGGTCAGGCAGGTCCAGTCTCCCCGAGAGCACCTGCAGCATGCTGGGTGTGCGGGCCGCAGGCACCCCACAGGGCCCGGTCCAGGGGCAGCAGCTGGGCACAGGCAGCCACAGCTGTGCTCACGTCCCACCAGGAAGCTCCTGTGGGTCCTAAAGGCCTGGCACAGTCTCTCAAAGCCCTCAGCACCGCGGGCCCAGGCCAGGCCATCTCGAGCCCGCATAGGGTCCCCACCCAGGAGACGAGCCAGTCAGACAGCTCCGGCTCCCTGCTGTCTAGGGATGGTGAGCAGGGGCTGGCAGAGAAAATAGGCCCTCTAAATGGGACGGGCAGTGACCAGAGGGTGTAGCCACTCCCAGTGCCCACTGTGCTGCCAGGACCAGCCTGGACTATGGGACTTCTTTCCCCTACACACCCTCCTGGACCACAGAAGGCCTGACATCCCGAGGGCTGGGAGGGGCGGACTGGGCATGGTTCCCCCAGGCTAGCAGGGAAGAGCTGGCCCGGAGGTTTGGAGGCAGGAGCTGGCCGGGTGCAGTCTCAGTAAGCAGGGGGTCACCACTGTTCCTCCCAAGGGAGAAAAGAAGAAAAGGTGAGGTGGCCACAGCAGGGAGAGGCGCCCATGGGGCACGGGGATGCTGTGAGGGCCAGCTCACTAAGGGTTCTGTGACCCAAGGTCCTGCCACCCAGCCCCACTGGGCCTGTCATCTCTCAGAGGCCCACAGTCCTGCATGGCTCACTGAGCTTGCAAAGGCCAAGACCTGAAAAAATAACTGTGGTGGTCGTGTGGCCAGGCACTTCCCTGACCGCAGGACCCAGCTGGCCTGGCGCTGTGTGTCCTCCAGAGGAGGCTCTGCGGCTGTCTTGAGTCCCCAACCACTTCCCAACAGGCTCATTTTTTGCTCATGTGTAGAGGCTGACAGCAGGAGGTTGCCATAGAAAGGATGCGGTCAGTCACGCCAGGCCACGCTGCGTGGGAAGCACTGGTGGGTCAAGGCAGAGTGGTTCCATGGGGAGGAGGGACGAGGGGTAACCAGCTTGGGCTTGGCTTGCTTGGAGAATTCTGGCGGGCTCTGGGCACACAGGTTGCCCAGTTGGCCGATACCTGGCCCAGGGTGACGAGGGTACGGCACGATGGCCCAGGTGCAAGCCCGTCAAGGAGGATGGGGAGTGGGCTCTGCACAGACCACTCGGCACATGGGAAGCAGGGTTCACGGCCTTTGCTGTCCAGTGGGGGTGGGCCCTCCAGGGACAGTGAGGCCCAGAAGCCAAAGCATCAGCACAGAAAAGGCACAGTGAACACACAAGTCCGTGCTACAGGCCTCGGTTCACACAGGAGCAGGTTTTCTAGATCCAGCTCTACAGCTGGTGTGTGGCCAGCACTGGGCCTTCCCAAACACTGGTCCGCATCCCCGGGGGTGGCTTCCTGCACTTCAAGGCCCCCAGGGAGCCCCCAAAGGTCCCTACAACCTCAGTGCCCTCCACAGAAGGGCAGGCTGGGGTGGGGCTGGCTCAGCCTTGAGAGCGATGACAGGTTCCACAAATGGCCCGGGAGGCTCTGGTGGGCCTAATAGCAGGTTGTCTGCCAGGAGAAGGACGGGGGTAATCGAGCCAGGGCACACGAAGCAGATGCACCCAGCCTCCCACGGGTGAGGCGTGAGCTTCTAATCACCAGCTCAGGTTCCCACATAGTGTGTCCCCGTGGAGCTGGGCTCAGCCCTCTGCACCCACCAGGTCCCCGGCCTCTGCTTCCCAGACGAGGCTGGTGATTGATAGTGGAGGTCACGCAGCCAGAATGTTTTTGCCAAGACTGCTCTTGCGTCTGCTCGCTTCCCAAACAGGAACATCCTGAGCAGTCAAACAAAACCGAGACAAGCCACACGTGTGCAGGAAGGGCACGGGGCTCCTGCTGTCCCCCACGTGTCTGAGGCCCCAACCTGCCAGGCGGCATGGCAAGGCCAGGTAGCCCCTAGAAGACCCTCCGCCTGGCTTGCACTCGCTTCCAAGCTCCCAGCCCAGAGCCCATCCTGGCTACAGCCACCATGAGCAGCCTTGTTTGCTACGGCCAAGGCTCAGGACTGAGGTCAGCCCTGGCTCATGGAGGGGAGTCACCAGCGTTGTCCCAGGGGACAGCAAGTGACAGGATGCTCAGACGGACAGGGCCACATGTGCTCTGACTTTATGTCCAGTCCCTGCCCACCTGAACGTGGCCCTGTGGTGGGCTAGTACAGGTAACTCCTCTGCAGGATGGATGGTGGTGAGCCTGGGGTCCTCCAGCACCGGGGGCTCATGGGGGTAATTCTGACTCCAATAAAGAAAGACAGAGAGCTACAGGCAACGTCTGTTTACTGACAGGGGACAGGCCAGTCCGGGAGGTCTGGGCTGAAGGAAGTATCTTTCTGGAGGGCAGAAGTCCCATGTGAGTCAACTCTGCTCCGTCTTGCCTGGGTGGGCGGGATCCTCGCCTTCACCCTCTTCTGGGGCAGTAGGGGGGTTGGGGGTCCCTGCAGCCTCCAAAATCAGTTCCAGGGCACCCTGGCCAGCCACTCTGCGCACCTTCTCCCCTCTGGATGCCAGGATCTCTTCAATATTCCTGTGAGGCAGGAGTGGGGGGATGTCACTCCTGTACCTGGCTCCCTGCAGGGCACACCCTGGCCAGCTCGATCCAGGAGTGCTGCCCAGCACCCAGCAGCATCAGGGCCATATAGGCACCTCACACATTTTCACGACCCATGGCTGCCAGCAAGTGCCACCTCAGGAGCCAAGGGACCACCTCATCTCTCGGAGAGACCAGTCCCCAGCAGTCCTGCCCATGCCCCTTCTCTACTTGGTGATGTCTTATGGGAGGACAGCCCAGTGCCTGGTGTGCTGACCTTGCAGGGTCACTCTGGGAAAGTCACGACAGGTCTTCCAGACTCTGCTGTCACCGACCCTCCCTCATGTGAGAATACAGAGCTCAGAAGTCAGAATGCACAGCCTTCGGCTCCCCAGACAGGGGTGCCAGCCTGGCCTCTGAGCAGGACCCTCAGGCCAGGGCCAGTCCACACCGCCTGACACACACCTCCCAGTTGCTGCAGACCAGGCACACAGATTGGCAGAGGACAAGAAAGTTCCACACCAGAAAGTGGCAAGGCCATCAAAGAGGACGGAGGTTGGTCAGTGAGGCAGAGCCCCAGGCGCCACCCAGGTGGCCTGACTGGCAGCTGCTGTATTGGGGGTAGCACAGTGACGGCAAAGGCTATCCATGGTCCACCTGAAGTTCAGATTTACCTGCACCTCTGCACAGACAAGGAAACTGGGCTGCTGAGGGGATCTAGAAACCACCAGGCAGGGGCTACCCAGGGAGGCCAGGTGGCCAGGTGTGTGCTGCTGGGAGGGCTCCTCACCCAGGCCCCAGGCTCAAGCCACCAGTGTCCCCCTTCTCCCGGCCCCACCTCCCCCGTCCAGGTGTCCTCACCTCTTCCCATCCAAGTCAGAAAACCAGCCCAGGTTGTCTGCAATGATGTGGTGGCTCTGGCAGCCAGGGCAGGTCACAATGACCACGCCCTGATGATAGGCCAGCTTCGAGATGCACTTAGAGGACCTTGTTCCACAGACCTGGCTGGAGCAGGGCAGCATCAGGCCAGCAACTGGACCCCCCCCCCCGGAAGGCCCCGCCCCTCAGGAGTGCTCCGCCCCCGAGAAGGCCCCGCCCCTCAGGAGTGCTCTCCCCCCCCGGGAAGGCCCCGCCCCTCGGGGTGCTCCGCCCCCGGGAAGGCCCCGCCCCTAGCAGCCTCTCCTCTTGGCGCCCTCTAGCGGCAAGGGCGGTCCGTCTTCCCCGCCTGTGTGCTCACTTTGCAGGTGTAGACCAGCTGGTAATGCGCCGTTTCCACTCGTCCCAGCGCCGCCACGGGCCCCGACCCGGAACTCGAGAACCGCCTACCCGAGGGCCAGGCCCGCCGCTTTCCTGCGGCCTCTGGGCGGGTCCTGCAGCCCCACAGGCACCTCAGGACAGGTCCCCGGGGTCTCTCTCTCAGCAGCATCGGCATACAGCCCATCACCGTCCGCAACATTCTGCCCCACCGCCCTCGCCGCTCTTTCCAACCCCGCCCCGCTCCGCTGAGGCCGCTTCCGCCATGTTGGAAGTGGGCACCGGGGCGGACGTGGCCCTCCTTAGCTTCCGCCCCCGGCCCGACGCGCCGCGCGCTGCTGCCCCCTGGTGCCGCCCTGCGCGCGCTGCGTCTGCTCACCGCCCTGCGGGCGCGGGCTCTAAAGGCAGGAGTCTGCACGCTCCCAGGTTATTTTTATTTACTGCACTTTACGGTGTTTCCACAAAACAAGGGTAGCGTACAGTAAAAATAGGAGGCGCATTTAAAAATTAGGTGCGAGGGCAGCCTCACGGAGGGGCGTCCAGCTCATTTGCTGTGGCCAGGTCAGCCACGGCGTGGAGTCCGCTGCAGGTGCGGGGAGTGCGTGCCGCCCCACGACGGTCCCGGCGCACTAGGAGCCCTCGGTGTCGGTGTTGTCGCTGCCGGTGGTGTTCCCGCGGTCCCCCTCGCCCTGCCGCCAGCCGTTCTGCATCTTCCTGAGCGCCCGCTTCCTGAGGGACGCCGCAGGTGAGGCAGGTGCGGCTGGTGGGCCGCGCCCGCGCCAGACCGCCCCGCCCGCCCGCCTGCCCACCTGCGGTAGTTCTCGAAGCTCTCCTTGAGGCGCCGCCGCTCCTTCTCCGGGGGCTCGCCGCTGCCCGCGCCAACGTCCTGCGGAAGGGCACGGTCGCAGCTAGATGGCCGTGTCCTTCCCGCGCCCTCCTGTCCCGGACTGCACGCTGTAGAAGGCTGAAGCCAAGCTGGCCATCGGGGCTGCCCCCCGAGGTGCCCCGGGCATAGGGCTGCCTTCTGATGAGAGGGCAGCGCGGGCTCCTGCGACTGGGCGCTCAGGTTCCCGCCTGGGCTCTTGCTAGTACACAACCCAGATGGCCCTTTGGCTGAGGGACTCCTGTGCCATGGACAAGGAGGCTGAGTTCCCGCTGGGTAGACCAGAAATGGGGTGTCCTTCTATGGCTACCCCACCCTCCCAAACCCCCATTCTTGGAGCTGTGTCCAAGAAGGTAGGGGCTCCACTTCATGTTCCAGACACTCCACCCCAAAACCCACAGCAGAGATCTTGGATCACCCCCAGCTGCCCTAGTGGAGACACCACCTTCCTGGAGATTAGTCTCTGAAGCCCACCGAGGGCTGCAGGAACCTGGGGGTCTTACATGGGGGTTTAGTGAAAGCCACACCTTCTGCGGGGCTGCGAAGGGCTGCTCTTGGCTCTCCCCCTCAGCGAGGCCTCCTGGAAAGGACAGCTTGCCTGTGGGTCCTGCCCACCTGGGGGGCCACGCCCAGCATGGCTGCCCCTCCCCCTCCCTGCTGCCCAGTGCAAGATCTCCTGGGTTCTCACATGGCCAGTTAGTCTCTCCATGGTCAGGCAAGGAAATAGGCCCAGACCCCTAGCCTGGCCTCCCCTCACTCCCAGGAGAAGCCTTCTGAGGCAGGCAGAGGCTGCTGGTCCTAGAGAGTCCCACAACTCCTTCCATCAACCGTCCATTCCTCCTGAGCTGGCTGCCCCCAAAGACCAACGACAAACAGACAAACAAGGACCCCAAGGCTCCAGGACACTTTTCCCAGGTGGCCCCAAGCCTCATCAGGCTGTGCTGTGTTCCCAGTTGCTGGGTAGCATTTTCAGGCGTGGTGGCTCTCAGGAGTGGGCAGGGGCAACCTCAAGAGGAGGGCCCAGGGCCTCCAGAGGTGTGGCTAGGGTACTGCAGCACTTGGAAGCAGAACTTTCCAGGCTGCTGGACCCCTCTGACTCTCCAAGGATCTAGGCAGACCAAAGTTCAGGCCCTTAGGGCAGAAGTACTGGTGGTCAGTGGGGCTGGGGTGCCAGGCTGTGTCCTGCCTTCCTTGGCTCCCCTCCTGAGCTGCTCTTAGCTGACACTCCCCCTCAGCTCAACCTCCATGCTGCCTGGCTCCTGCCACAGCCCCCTGGGAGCTGGCTACTCCTGAGTCTGCCACCCCTGAACACGTGGGGCTCTGTAGCCTCAAGTTCACGTCTCTGGGTTGTGGCAGATGGCCGCCCCCACTTCTCCATCTGCTGCCACTTCTTCCCCTTTTGCCTCTGCTTGGAGGCTGGGCTCAGGCAACCCTGAGGAAGTCTTTCTGACTTCCCACGCAACCTCCCTGGGGCACCCCACCACCCTCCCCACCTCCCACCGACCCCCATCACCAGAGCAGACTCCTCCCCAGCTCCTGCCCACATCCAGGCCACTCCCAGAGGCACCCAGCTGTTCCCATCCACCCCCAGTCTGTCTCTAGGGCTAAGAGCCCCATTTAAAAATGAGCCCAGGAGGAATCCTGCCTGGCCCACTGGAAGCCTCTTCAGCCCCCTCGGTGCTCCTCACCCCCTGCCCGGCATGCAGCCCCATTCCTCTATCCCTGGCCTTCTGAGCCTGGACACTGGCTTACTGTGTCTCCCACTGCAACAGGAAGCTTTGTGAGGAGAAGGTGAGGGAGCCCTGTTCTACTCTGCATTCCCTGGGCCTGCCCAGGGTGGAGGCTCCACACCCACTGCCCCAGGGGGACCTGTCCTCACTGGACCAAGGACCCTGCCAGCTGGGCCCCAGGTTTGAGTCAGATTCTCTGCTCTCTAGGTGTCCTTGACCTGAAAACACCCCCAAGCCTCAGTTTTCCCGTCTGCTGAGTAGAACGTGAAGATTGAGGAAACAGGGCACTAGTTACAGGCCAGGGCTCAGGGGGACCAGAAGGCCAAGCTTCTGGGCCAGAGGAGTATGGTGCATGGTGTGCCCGCTCACCTCTGTCTGAGAGCTGGGCATCCTCCTCCACATCCAGGGGCAGTGAGAGCTTCCAAAGACAAGACAGGTCACTGTTAGTCCTCCCTTCCAGCCACCACTCCCCACCAGGACTGGACCCCACCTACCCCACAGCCCACTCAGCTCCTGCACCCCAGCCAGGCATGGTGCCTGTCTCCCCTCTGTACAGCTCCTCGGGGGCTCAGGCTGCGTGAGGAGGGGCTGGGAAATGGAGCTCTTGCACCAGCAGCACTGCCCTGGCCTCACTGTACCCTCCAGCAAATGGGCCTCTCCCCCTGCCTGGCCCAGAGCTGGGCAGTGGAGGCTCAGTTCAGCGGGACCCTGGGAGCATAAATGTGGTTGTGGGTGGGTAGAAGCTGGGAGTCCCACAGAGGCCAGCCGGGCACCATCCTGGGGTCACGCTCACCTCCTGGGAATTCCTGGGGGAGCTATCCTCCAGATCAGAGCTCTGTGGTCAAAGAAGAGGGGTTGGTTAGAGCAGCATGGGGTGGGTGGGGTATGGCGAGGGCCCCAGTCCAGCCCCATCCTCCAGGAGCCCCCGTACATGCCTCAGCTCTGGCTCTCCCCTCTCTAGGCTCTGCCTAGAATGTCCCTCCTCCTCACCACCCCACCCTGCTGGCTCCACTTGGTCACAGCCAGTGTCCAGCAGTCCCACGTCCTGCTTGGGCCTGGGCTGTGTTAGCAGCCCTTACTGCACCACAAGGAAGGTCTGGGGTTGTCCTGGCCACACGCCTGGGTCCCACTCCCTCACTGCACTGACTGGCCCAGGCAGGACCACAGGGCTGAGCTGGCAGGCCGCCCTGTCCTGCAGCCCACCAGGGTGAGTGTGTCCAGCTGCTGCTGCTTGAGCCTGCCCTCTGCAGCCAGCAGCCGGCTCTCGCACTGGAACAGCTGCAGCTGCAGCTCATCTGCCTTCTCGCTCAGCTCCCGGACCCGCTTGCGCAGTTCATCCTTCTCCTGGAGGCTCCGGGCACACTGCGTGTGCAGTTCCTCCCGGGAGGCCATGGCCTGCAGGAGACACAGGTCACCTTCAGCCCAGGGCTTCTCTTTGCTTCTCTCCTTACAGCATGACTCCCAGCTTCTAAAGCAAGTTCCCAGCAGGACTTCTAGCACCTCTCGGAGTCAGTGGAGCTGCGTGGGACCAGCCAGCGCAGGCCTCTCCTTTCCCTTGGACACAGATGGCATTTGGGGATTGTAAAGTAATGAAGGCACATGATGGAAAGTGGACAAGCGTGAAGAAGATAAAACTCGCCGGGCACAGTGGCCATGCCTGTGATCCCAGCAACTCAGGGGGCTGAGGTAGGAGGACCACAAGTTTGAGGTCAACCTCAACAATTTAGTGAGACTCTATCTCAAAAACAAACAACCACCACCAATAACAAAAACCCACAACGGACTGGGGATGTAGCTAATGATAAAGAACCCCCAAATGTATGAAAGATGATATATCATGAGCTCTGTAACGTTTTGAACAACCAATTAAAAAAAAAAAAAAGAATAACCTTGACGGTTATTTGTTATGTATTCAAAAAAGAACCCCAGGTTCAATCTCCAGTATTGTGGGAGGAAAAAGGTTAGAAATCTCCATATTCTCAACCCTCAGGGCAGACCTTGTGGCCCCCTGTCAACTCTTGAGTCACTCAGTTCCCAGAGGATACCCAGCACATCTTTGTTCCCTATCCATGTTCTTGTGATTGGTAAGGACTGAATGAAGTTGGTCATCCAGAGCATGACCACCAGTGGCTACATAAGATTCTTAAAAATGAATGTCGTGCTCTTCTATTTATCTTATTTTTGGTACTGTGGATTGAACCTGGAAGTGCTGTACACTGAGTCACATCCCAGCACTTTTTATTTTATTTTATTTATTTTGAGACAGGGTCTCGCTAAAGTCTCAGACTTATGATCCTCCTGCCTCAGCCTCAGACTCACTGGGATTACAGGTGTGGCCACTGTGCCCAGCTTCTGTCATGCTCCTTTATGCCTGTATCCTACCCGGGGTCCCTGAGGTGTGAGACCAATGTGCTAGCAGAGGAGGGCACACTACAGTGGGGCAGAACTCTGACCCCAACTGCAGCCAGCAGTCCAGGAGACCATCAGTAGTCCACAGGCCAGTGGGCCCCACCCTGGCCAGGACTTGACTGGTAAATGGCTGCTTCCCTACCTCTTGTCCCTGCTTCTGACTTTGGACCTCTTGGAGACAGCCAAACAAGGCCCTGCCAAGCCCACCAGTGCCTGGCACTGGACCAGCTCCTGGGCAGCAGCCCCGGAGTGCAGCCAGTCCCCTCCCTCCCACCAGAGGCTTTCCAGCCCCTCAGCCTGGGAATCGGCCTGGGAGTCTGTGCCCAAGGCAGGCATGGTGGCTGAGCCCCTGCTGGACAGGCAGATTCGCTATTTTCCTGGGATCCTTGTGTCTCCACAGGTGACTCCCAGCAGTCTGGGTTCAGGACTCCTGATACATGTCATGAGTCACCCTCCAGCACTGGCAGGAGCACCAGCTGTCAACTGGAAACAGCCTCCAGGAAGCTGCTTGGGAGATAGGGTGCAGATGCAGCCCTGTGGTGGGATGCTCCGCCGGGTCCACAAGAGTTCCCCAGACAGACACTCACAGTTCTTTTAAGTTAAAAAAAAGCTACTTGCAGCTGAGCACTGTGGGGCACACCTGTAATCCAGCTACTCAGGAAGCTGAGGCAGGAGGACCACTAGTTTGAAGCCAACCTGGGCAACTTAATGAAACCCTGTCTCAAAAAAAAAAAAAAAAAAAAATTGCTCTTTGGTAAAGCACCTCTGGGTTTGATTCCCACTACAAAAAAAAAAAAAAAAAGAAACGAAAAGAAAGAAAGAAAAAAGAAAGGACTGAGGGTGCAAGCCAGTGTAGAGCACCCCTGGGTTCAATCCCCAGTACCACAAAAAATAAAATTAAAAATAGTTGCTTGCAAAATAAGACTGATGGAAAGCCCTCTTTTGTACAAGATATATAAAAGAAAACTAACGTACAGCACTGAGAGGAGCGTGGAAGGAGGAGGCTCAGGGTGACCACGGCTCTTCCCAAGTGGGATGGGCCGGGTGGGAAGCTGGCCATGGACTCCATGTTGCATGGGCCATGAGCTTGGGGACCAGCTCCCTCCCTGCATCCTTACCTCCGCATGAGGCAGGAGGCACCCACCTGGTCCCGCTCGATGGCCACCTCCTCCATCTGCTGCAGGACAGCCTCGATGCGGTCCTTGTACATCTTGGAGTCCTTGCGCAGAGCCAGGCACTGCAGCTCGAACATCTCCCTCTCCTCCATGCACTGCAGGAGGGGCTGTTCAGCTGACCAGCCCTGGGCCACCTGGCCTCAGGGATGGCACTTGAGGGTACATTTGGTTAGGCCAGCTGGGACCAGGAGGAGGCCCTAGGGGCCACAGACCACAGTGGGCCAGACCCAGTAGAGACCCTGGCCATGGCCACCATTCTGCCACAGGCACTGTGAGCCCCAAGGATGGCCCCCACCCTCCCAGGCAAATGCAGGCAAAGAGCTGCACTTCTGGCTGTACCCCCAGAAGTGGGGCAGCACAGAATTTAAATGAGATCCAGCACCCTGCCTTCCAGATGCCCAGTGGGCACTGGCTTAACACCCCAGGCCTGGTGCCTGCCACCAACCCTCCTACCCGGTTGCGGAGGGCCTCGCCCTGGCGGAGGTCCTTGCGCAGGGAGAATATGGTGTTGGCCTGCTCCTGGTGGTCCCGCAGTGCCTGGCGCCAGTCCTCCTCCAGCACCTGGATGTAGGGGCTGTTCCTGTCCAGCTTCCCCTCCTGAAGATGGCCAAGGGCAACTATGACCGGGAGGCCCAGGCTGCCTGGCTGCCAGTGCCTGTGTTGCCCCTAGCTATGAGCCGCCCGCGGAAGCCTGGTATGGAAGCCTGGCGCAGCCCCACCTGCACGGAGGCTTCCAGCTCCTGCACACGGGCCTGCAGCAGGGCCTTCTCCTGCTGCAGCTCCCATAGCAGCTCCTGGCTGGGCCGCTGCTCCATGGCGTGCCTGAGCTTCAGCGTGTGTTTGCGCTCCACCTTGCAGTCGTCCTCCGCCTTCATGAGGCTGTGCCTGAGTCGGTCCACCTGCAGGGGCGCCGGGGTCCAGTCAGCCAGGCTCCAGGCAGGGTAGCAGGGTGCGCCCGGGAGTGGGACCCGCTCACCTCCAGCTGCAGGTCGCGGCTCCGCATGAGTGCTGCGCCCTTCTCCTCGCTGAGGCGCGCCAGGCGAAGGGCCAGGTCGTAGTTCTCTTCCTTGCAGCGCTTAAGCTCGCGGCCGCCGGCTTCGCACTGCTCCTTGAGCCGCTGCACCCGCTCCTGGTGTGTGCGCAGTAGGCTGTCCTTCACCCGCAGCTCCTTGATGAAGTCGTCCTTGGAGCTCAGCAGCGCAGTCAAGTCCTGCACCTTCTTCTGCAGTTTCATGACCTCCGTCATCAGCAGCTGTGTGAGGCCAGACTCCCCAGATGCGTCTGGGGGCCAGGCAGCGTCAGACGGAGCCATGCCCCTGCATCTGCCCAACCTCAATGACCCTAGGTGCTTGAGGACCAGCAGCTGGAGTCAGCAGGCCAGTTCTGCCTGGTCTCTGTTCCGCTTGGGGGACATGAACAGGACACTTCATCCTCTCCCAGGCCACTCCAGGCCAGGGCTCAGGGCAGCCCTTCTTTCTCTCTTTATATAATAGATCTTCCCCACTCCCACCCCTGGGTTCTGGGGTGCTCTACACTGAGCTACATCCCCAGCCCTTTGTATTTTTATTTGGAGATAGGGCCACTAAGTTCTGAGGCTGGCCTGGAATTTGGGACCCTCCTGCCTCAGCCTCCCGAGTAGCTGGGGTTACAGGTACGGCCACTGCACACGCTAAAAAGGATCTTAATGAGATGCAGCAAACCAGTGGGCTACCAGCAGGAGAGCATCCCGCTGCCTCCGCTGGGAACCACAGGACTCTGTGGGGACAAAGGCTTTAGAGAGGTGGAACCCGCAGCGAGTGGGTATTCTGAGGCCGGGAGAGGTTCCTACCCCCAGAAGCTCCCCCTCTGGAGGCCAGGGGTACCCCAGCAATGCAGGCGCCCAGACCCTGAGTGGGGTGGGGGGGTAGGGGTGGGATCTTCATGCTGGCCCACTTCCAGGTTCTTTCTCCCCCAATTTATGAACTATAGACCTACCAGAAGGACCTGCGAGGAGGAGACCCCGTGCCTGGACCCCACCCCCAAGGTCGCCCCACCCTGACCCTCACCGATGATCATGGAGAAGACACGAGCCGGTTCCTTGCCGGTGACTTTCCTATATAGCTGTGGGTAGTAAAGCTCCAGGCTCTCGAGGAAGGCCACGTAGCCCTTGTGACCTGTCCTCTGCAGGATGTCCAGCAGCACGCCTGCAGGCCAGAGAGGCAGGGCTGGGGACTGGGGCATTGGGGGCGGGAGGGGGCAGGGCCAGGGCTGGGGAGGAGGCTCCCAAGGTGCAGGTGAGGTGCATTCTGGGCACAAGGTACCCCAAGCTGTGTGTGCCCCTGCCCGCCCCACCTGGCTTTGGCCAGGCCTGGCCTGCCCAACACAAAGGTCAGGGTAATGATCTGATGGAGGTGCCCTGCAGGTGGTCTACGATGGGGACAAAGTGCTGCCCGCCCACCCCAGGCCTCCCAGGGCCTCAGTGGTGTGTGAGCTCCCTGCCACTCCAATCATAGCTTCCAGCAACATGGGAGGGGACTTCCACTCCGTCCTCAGGATGGAGGCTGGGGCTCACAGTCCACCTGGGTGGGTCAGGGCCAGGGAGGCACAAAGCAGCCACTGGGGCCTGGATCCTTGGGGCAGCAGGTGGGGGCAACACTGACCCACTTTCCGCTTGCGGATGACAAGGTTGGGGTCACTGAGCACCTGCTCCTCGTCATCAGGGTTCAGAACCTTGCACTGGCGCAGGTAGGGCGTGATGCGGGCAGGGTCGATGACAGAGATGAGCTTGACCCGGAAGCCCTCCAGGGCATTCCAGCACTCGTCCTCATTCTCATAGTCCGACATGGCCTCCGCAGGCTGGTGGCTGGAGCTGGGGAGAGCAGCCGAGGTGGATGCCCACCTGCTGTGCCCCTGGCCTGGAACCTACCCCCAGGGTCAGCCCACACCAAGTGTACAGGTGTCCTGCCAGGGCTTTGGGCAGGGCCACCAGGGAGCCCCACCCAGGGGCATCTGAGGGGTTTACCCTCACATTCCTGGCTGCATGACCATTTCCCCAGGGACAGCAGAGGCATCGGGACAGCTCCTTGTCAGGCTACCGAGCTGTCTCCTTTTTGAGCTCCTGCCCTGCCCCTCTGCCCAGCTTGCTTTCTTCCTGAATCACCTGGGTAAATATGAGAGGAACAGCTGGGGTCTAAGAGAAGAACATTCCCCTGCACCATGACACTCCAAAGTGGTGGGAGGAGGTTTGTCCCATGGGGCCACCCTGCATGGCACTGTGAGTCCTGGCTGTCCAGCATCCGGGCTGGGCAAGGGGCAGGTTGGCTGGTGGCCCTCCCACCTTTGCCTTGGGAGGGAGCGAGGCTGTGGAGGACTTCCTCATCCCCCAAGGCCCCTGCCCCCCAGTCCTTCCGCTGGCCATGGGCTGGTGATGCAACAGCTCCATGGCAGCTCCCCGTGTCACCGAGCTGTTTAGGGAGGGTGGTGGAGGGCTGCTCACGGGGGCATTTGCCATTACCCTAGACCCGGGCATGCTGCGAGGGGCTGGCAGGGTTGCCTGTTGCCCAGGGAAGCTGCTGCCGCACCCTCTCATGGTTCTCAGGTCCTGGGCACTGGTGACCCCTGCACTCTCTGGCCCAGAGAGTGCCTGGCTCCTGCCAGGCTGGGGACACTCAGGCCAGCTGTAGACAAGGGATCTTCCCATGAGGGCCCATCCTTTGCTATCTTCTTTAACCAGTGCACAGCTCAAGTGACTGGCTTCAGGACTGGGCCAAGGTGGCAGTAGCCGAGTAGCTCTACCTCCCTGAGACAGGAATGGGGCCCTGACTGGCCAGAGGAGCTGGCTGGGCCACTGGCCCTTGAGACAGGCATGCTCTTCTGAATAACTCCTCAGCTTCCTGCTGCACCGATTCCCTGCCCAGGCTGGTGGCCCAGGGGACAGTCCTGGGAACACTGGGCTTTTACTGCCTGTCTTTCTGGCCCGAATCCACATGGCCCACACCAACTCCCACCACTGACTCCTCTGAGCGAACAGATCTCTGCAGAGTGGCCGTGCAGGGCCCGGGAATCGCTGAGGCTGCATGGCTGGCCTGTGGGAGCACAGCACTGCTCTAGGCATATGCTTCAGGGTCCCCAGCAAGATTATGGTCTCCCAGCCACCTTCCCCCAGGCCAGTCTCTTGAAGGGCTCCAGGCCAGCCTACCTCGGTCCTGCAGGAGCCACCTGCCAGCTGCGTGCTGTCCTGGCCGTGGGAACACCAGGATCTGGGGCTGCCAGGGTATCTGGGAGATGCTGTCGGCAGCTGGTGCTGGAGGGATCGAGGGTGGAGCTCAGAGGGAGGCTCTGACTTCCTGCTGTGTTCTGGTTAACACCACTAAGGCAGGCCTGTCCTCCCGCAGGGGGACAGTCCCTGGTGGCCTGCTTCTGGTTTGACAGCCAGGGCGGCCCCAGGGGAGGGAAGTGGAAGTCTTCTGGGGAACAGAGGAGCCTGCCTGCCCAGGGACAGGGTCCCAGGTCTTAGGGCCACCTGAAAACATGGAAAGAAGGGCAAAGGCCCTCCTGGGCTAGAGGAGGCCAACCCACCATGACACCCAGGAGGGCACATGGTCTAAGGGCTGGGTGACCTACCAGAGGTCAGGAGTAATAGCATGTTTGCGGCACACTGCTGCCAGCCCACTGTCCACTAGACATTTAAGCCCTCCACAGGGGGTGAGGCACCCTGATGTCCTCCCTGTCCTTGCCACTGGGAACCCCCAGGCCAGTCTCCCTTTCTACCAGGATGCATGGGGGGTACTCCCAGAAGCTGATGGCAGGCAAAGCTCGGCCAAAGCCAATGGGCGACAGGCAACAGAGTCCTCTCTGGCCCACATCTAGGGCGGTCCTTGGAGCCTGGTCCCTGAGGAGTGTGGAGAGCTCCAGGCCCCACTTCAGCAGGAGGAGCTGATTGGACCGAGCCACACCTGGCCTGCCCGGTCAGGCTGAGGCAACAGCTACCAAGAAGGGGTGAGTGGAAAGGGTGGGAAGCTCCCATGACCACTCCCTTCCTGCATGGCCTCTGACCCTGCGAGACCAGCTCTCCTACCGGATTCCATGGAGGGCCAGCAGCCGGGCCCATGTGTAGAGGAGCAGGCAGTTAGGGATGTTCCAGCCCCAGGCCCTGGCAGCACCTCCTCGTCGACTGCAGAAGTGACCCAGGCTGTGCTGTCACAGCAGGGAAGTGGCAGGGGCTCCCCTGCCTAGAGCATCCCATTTGTACATGAGGGATAAAGGTGTCTTTTCTGGGGTTTTGTCTTTGCAGTGCTGGGGATGGAAGCCAGACCTGCACATACTGAGCAAGTGCTCCATCACTCAGCTACTCCCCTAGCCCCAGGTGTGTATTCTGAAGAAAAAAGGCGTTGCTGGGCACAGCGGCCATGCCTGTGATCCCAGGGACTTAGGAGGCTGAGGCAGGAGGATTCCAAGTTAGAGGCTAGCTTGGGCAACTTTTAAGACCCTGACTCAAAATAAAATAAAAAAGGTCAGGGGAACTGTATCACTGAACTGTAGCTAGGTTTGATCTCCAGGACCACAAATATACATTAAATTCACGTTCTCAGACTTATCAGAATTAGGCTAGGAGTTAGCAACAGAAAGATATCTGGAAAATTCCCAAGTATTTGGAAATAAATTTTAAGGAAACTCTACAACCTGCAGATCAGAGGAATCAGCAAGGAAAACTAGATACTGGTGGCGGTGTACACTTGCAGCAGAAGAGCCTAATAGCCGAAGGGTGGGTCCAGTGCCTGTGATGGTCCCCAAACCATCAGGACCTGGGCAGGCACCCCTCCTTTTACTTCTCTGAGCTGGAAATCTCCAGTGAGAAAATGAAGTAAGTGATGAGAACCAAGCCACAGGAGGGTCCCAGGCCCCGGGCGAGTGGGAAGCCACATGAGACAGGACTGGGAAAGCAAAGGGGTAGGCACATGGCTGGGCTCTGGCCCGGAGCCAGGAAATGCCCACAGGAAAGGAACCACCAGAGGGAGGGAGCCACTGCTGTGACTGTGGGCAGGCAGGTGGCCACTGGTCCTGGGGACGCTGCCTGGGGCCAGTGTGGCCAGAGCCACAGTCTGTTTCCCCAAAACAGACAGGAGCCACTTCTCTAACCTCTCCAGAGCTCAGGGACCATGAGCTCAAGGCCCACTGGAGGCTGAGGACCCTGTGGCCGAGCCAGCTGGTGTCCCATGCATCCCCAGAGCTGATGGGCGGTACAATTCTGGTGGTGCCAGTCTGGGTCTACCACCCGGTACCCTAAGACAACAAAATCACAAAAGCTTGTCTTGCTCTTTAATTGAAAAATAGAACATTTACTTTATTCCTTCAAACACTGAGATTTGTACTTAGAGACCAGCCAAGCCTGGGACAACCAACGTGGCCATTCTGCTGGGTTTCTTCCTGCCTACTACAGGCAGCAGCTCTCCAGACGCTGGCTCTTTTCTCCTGTACGGTGGACAATGGGCTCTTGGGGTAGGCGCGGGCTCTATGTCCTTGTCCTGAAACACAGGAGCACACTGATGGTGGGGGGCACTCGACTCCAGGAGGGCCCAGTACATGCAGCCAGACCCCAGACAGTACGGCCGGTGACACTGTGCCACAGGGGGAAAGGCACTGGAACCCAGGGTCGGATGCACAGAAGGCCAGCTGGAACACCAGGACACTGCCACCCTCCCCCCACATCATCCTGCCAGCTCCAGAACCTGTCCTGTGGTCAAAGCAACTGCTCTTGCCTCTGGGTGGGCTGACCTGACTCCCTCTTCTCAACCCAAACATACCAGGCCTATAAGGCACTTGCTGTCCAAGACAAGGGACAGAGCAAAAGCAAAGTGCTCTTATGGGCTCAAGGCCACGGGTAGACCATAACTACACAGGTAGCGTGTGGCAGATGGCATAATCAGTGACACCAGGACGGATGGAGAGCATTCCCAAGGAATGGAGACTCAGCAAGGGGAGGGAGGAGCCTTGTAATCCTATGGGCAGAGGGCACAGCTGTGCAGAGGCCTTGAAGCACACAGGGAGAGCCTGTGTGACTTGGCCCTGTTCCTACCAGGCCCATACACACAAACAGCCTGTGGACGCTCACACCCGGCTTCAGCTTTGGTGCTCCCCAACAGAGGCGGCACCCAGCTCTCCTGGTTGCAGAGCCTGGGACTCACCTGCTGCTCACAGCAGGGGCTTCTGCTTCCGGGCATGCCGGCCATGCCTGGTCCTGAGCACATGAAGGTCATCAGAGGTATCCAAGTGGGAGGGAACAGCACCCTCGCTAGAAACCAGAGCTCCCTGAAATAAGAGCCCAGGCAAGGACAAATAAGAGTGACCCCCACAATGGGCAGTGGATGGGGGCACAGAGAAGGGCCTTGAGGGGAAAGCACTAGCCGGTCCTGACCCAAACAGAACAGGCCAGTTTCTTGGATCTGTCCTCACTCAGGGCACACTGTGAACCCAGTCAGGGCAGCAGGAGCTGAGCCAGGGAGGGGCTGAACAGGCCTTCCTGGAGCCCACAGGGGGCTTTCTCCCTCACAAAGGCATCGCCAACCCACTTTCAGGAAACCCTTCATGGCCAGCCTTCTGCTCTGAGGCAAGGGCCAGCAGGGACAGTGCAGAGGAACAGGGCTTGCCCCCCCCTGGGAAGGGAACAACGACCACCTCAGGGGGAAGGGGAGGGCATCACTGGAGGCTGCTGCCCACAGGTACCCCTGCAAGGCTGAAGCCCACTGTGGTCAGGCACAAAGGTCTGACACCTGGCAACAGGGGCAGCCAGGAGGACACAACAACGTTCCCAACATTTTGTTTCAAGGTTCTGGTGGGACAAGAAAGAAAAGTATTGCTAACACAGATGAGAAAACGTCCTGAGCAGAAGCCCTGGGTCAGGTGTGTGCCTGTGGTGGGCAGAGCTCAGAGCTGCCCAGCCTAGCTACCACGAGTTCTTCCCAACACCCACCCAGCATTTGGGGGGGGGACCCCGAGTGGCAGGGCTGAGTTTCTGCAGTGTGGGCCAGCTTTTTCCTCCTGCGGGACGTGCAGCCAGTGTCCCTGTGCCACTTCATCAGCCCCTACTTGCCACTCTAGGAAGGAAGGACGTGTAGACAGGAAAGTGCAACTGGGCCTGGCACCCTTACCTGGATGGGGACCGTGGTTGCTGGCATTGTCTGTGTTCTACTGGGCGCACAGCCTAACCAGTTGTCCCTGTCCTCAAGGTCCAGCTCACTCAGGAGGTCCTCATCCTCACTCTCAGAGCTGGCTCTTGTGGCCACTGACAGGGTGGTACGGATGCCATGGGGGGCCAGGGTGGCCAGGAGAGCAGGCAGTGTGAAGGCTGCCAGGAACCGTGCCTTCAGCAAAAGGTAGGCTGGGTTGTCCTGCAGCTGCCTCCGCACCAGCTCCAAGGAGGCCTGCAGCGTCCCAGCTGCCTCACTGGCCACTAGGGAGGAGGCCTTGTGCTCCAAGGCCTTCTTGTGGAGCAGGAGGTTGGACAGTGCTCGTAGGCTGGACAGGGTGGGGGGCTGGTAGGGTAGCCTGTTCCCCAGTGGGGGCACATGAACCCCTTGCTGTCCCCTCAGCCACTGCCGTATGGCTGCCTCACTTTCCAGGGAGAGCAGGCTCAGATCTAAGACCCCCTTCTCGGACCCAGACAACTGTGGCTTCTCTAGACCCAGAGGCCCCCCAGGCTCCAGTGTCCCTCCTGAGCCATTTGTGGGACCAGTGCCAACAGAAGCAGAGAGCTGGCTGGGCCAGGGGGGCTCTGCTTCAGGGCAGTTGGTCTGGGAAGATGTCCTTGGCACTGCAGCCTCCTTGACCACCTGGGCCTCTCCAAGAGCGCCAGGAACATTACCACCTACTTCTAGAGGACTCTGGGATGGGGGGCAAGTTGGGGGAGCTGAGGTGTCAGTCCTGGAAGAGGGGGCTGGATCTGTGTCCACACTGGCCTGGGGCTGTGAGGGGCAAGCAGGAGCCTCACAGCAGGGTGGTGGGAGCTTCGCAGGTAGCCCTGCAGGACCAGGGAGGCCCACCACTGCTGGTACTGGCATAGGTAGCAGCCCCTGGGCCGTGAGCACCCAGGTGACAGGCAAGGGGATGCTGGCTGCCAGGGGGGTCCCACTTCTGTGTGTGCCCAGAGCAGGCGTCAGGTTGAGGGGCTGCATGGGCAGTTGAGTGGGGCTGGGGGCTGCGGGGAAAAAGGGCAGAACCTCAGGTAGGCCCTGTTTC